GGCACTTCTTTGGGATCCTGCCGTGCACACATGGGCAAAGACCCTGGGGTTCTCAGTGAGAACCGTGGCTAAACCCTGGAGGATAGGTGGAGGAAGGGCTGAGCCCAACCAGGGCTGAATTTCTTAACACCTTTGCAGGACTGGGATTCAGAGGTAAAATTAAGTTGAATTATGAAAAATAAAGAAGTGTGCACTTTTTTTTATATACATGAATTTGCAGACTGAAACATTTCATACTCTACCATGATGTACATTAAAGAAGCTTGCAGCATGCTGCATATACATTTTTAAAATCTTGTTTTGCTTCCAGTATGATATAACAAATTATTTCCCAGCTCGTGAAATAGTCTCTGAAAATAACACACCTTTAACAAGTCCATTCTAGGACAGTGAGGACCTGATCCATTGTGTTCAGCACTGTCTTCAATACTCAACACAGTGCCTGGAGAGGGGCAGAGGCTCATGAATCATTTGTTCATTCCCTCAAGTGTAGACATGCCCTGATGGATGAGTTTTCTGGTATTGGCCACTAAGATTGCTTTCAGGTATATAAATCATACTGTGGTAGACATTTTTGGTGGAAACCTTTGCCCACATGCTTGACTGTCTCCTTGGTTGTCTGAAGAAGTCAGTGAATTCACTGGTCAGTGAATATGCAGAATTGAAGGTGAATTTAGTTCATCTTTTAGTTTCTCATAAAATCCTTGCTTATTGCTCTGCAAAACCCACATAATATAGACATAAACTTAACTTAGTATGATGCAGATTCTTCTTAAAACTTACTCCAAGGGTTAAACCACTGAAATACTTGAATTACAGCTCTTAAGTTCCTATAAAGTTAAGTGTTAGTCGTTCAGTCATGTCACAGTCTTTGCAACTCCATGGACTGTAGCCCCTAGCCCACCAGGCTCTTCTGTCCATGGGATTCTCCAGGCAAGAATACTGGAATGAGCTGCCATTTCCTCTTCCAGGGGTCGAACTAGGGTCTTCTGTATTGCAGGCAGATTCTTTACCTTTTGAGCCACCAGGGGAGCCCCTCTAAGGTTAGACCAGTTTAGTAAAAACTTGGATATTGATGAAGATAAAAGTGGGATTTTTTTTCCTCTTTGAGGTGGCACCATCTAGTGGTACTTGCAGACAATACAAGAACAAAAACTGCTTTGGGGATTAAAAATGGCACTCATTTAACTTTGCCATTTCCAGTCCAGGCTACCTTCTGTTTTTTACCTTTTAAATTTAAATTTGTAAATCACTGATGCAGCCTCCCAGCTGGACTCTGTCTCTGTTCTTCCCCTCCTTATTCCATCCCTTAGTTTGTAGTCAGAGTGACTGTTTTAAATTTGTAAATCTGAGTCATGCGTGCATGCTTAGCTGCTTCAGTTGTCTGACTCTTTGCGACCCTATGGACGATAGCCCACCAGGCTCTTCTGTCCATGGGATTCTCTAGGCAAGAATACTGGAGTGGGTTGCCATGCCCTCCTGCAGGGGATCTTCCCGACCCAGAGATTGAATCCGAGTCTCCAGCATCTCTTGCACTGCCGACAGCTTCTTTACCGATGAGCCACCAGAGAAGAAATCTGTGTCAGTTCCGTTTAAATCATCCAGTAGCCCATCATCTTTATGCTAAAGCTTGATCTTTTAACTTAATTTGTGAAATCCTATGCCAGGATTTGGCAAATATTTTCTGAAGGGGTCAGATGGTAAATATTTTGGATTTGGGAGCACACGGTCTTTGCAGTTCTCCTCCTAGGCCCCATGGTGCTGCTGGTGGGTAGTGTTGCCCTCATCTTTGTCCACAGGAAGCTTTGGGCATGACTGTAAGTGTGGGGGTGGGTGAGCAGGACAAGATTTGTCCCAAAGAAAGCAAGATCAACAGGGAGGGTCAATCCACAGTTCAGACCGGGTCAGGGCCCACGTGTAGTTAGGAGAAGGGGACACACATCCCTCCTTACCCTTAGGAGGGTCCTTCTAAGAAGTTCCAATTCCCAGGAAGTATGTGGTCTTCTATTTTGAAAACGGGGGCTCGATCAAGGGTTTTCAAAGGGTATCTCCTAGCTGATCTGTGGGCTGAGGGTGCTGAATGAGGGGCAGCTGAATGGGTGGTATTTCTAGAGACAATTTCTAGGTCATAAAGGAATTCCCATTTAGAATAAAGTTGAGAAATCAGAGTGGAAAGACTAGGGAAGAGGAATCAGGGCCTGGGAAGAAGGCTAAGGGGGCAGAGTCCTATCTCAAAGGCTGCCAGGACAGGCATCCCAGGAAGAGCCCACCTGGGCACATAGCAGGCATGCAGAGAACAATTCCTGAATGATGAGCAGGTAATTAAATATAAACACGTTTCCCACAGCTCCTTCCTTCCTCCCTGCTAGGTGCCACCCTCAGCCTCTGCTGTCTCCTTCCCTCCCTGAGGGGCCCAGCCTAGGACGTCTCAGTTGGAATCTTCCATGACTTTCCAGATGCCTCCCATCCATGGAGAACTCCCTGCCCATATGCCCCTGAGGTCCCCAGAGCTGGGTCTCTATACATGGTCTCTATCCATGATCCCTGGATCATGGGAAGTAGCTCTGGGGACTGACTCACAAATATGGGAGCAAAGTCAGCACAACACAGGTCAGGTTCTCTCTTGTCTATCACCTTGGACTTGACCATGAACCACACACCAGCATCCCTGTACTGAGGAGTTATTCTGTCTTGTGTGTTCCTGTGTTCACCAACTCCCCACACTTTGAGGTTCTCTTTTACCTCTTGAGTACACAGGATCCCCCTTCCTGCTTTTAAGGGGGGAAAAATGCATTCTCCTTTCAACAGTTTTGTTATAATTGCCAGAGCTAAGACAAAAACCAAATGTAGACTTCAGTTACTAATAATGTACCAATATAATTAATTGCAACAAATGTACCACACTAATATAAGATGCTAATAATAAGAAATTGTGTGTAGGGGTATATGGGCAATCTTTGTTTTATCATCTAAGTTTTTCTATAAATCTAAAACTGTTTTTGAAAAGCCTATTAAATAAAATATAATATTTTGTCTTCTTGTACCTCCTTTGGAAACAGTGTAAGGAAATACGTGGTGAGGAGGTTTCTGTGTTAGTATACCCACATTTTATCTCATCTTATAGGTCTGAGGTTCCCTTCTCTTGCTTCCTCTGTCCTCTGCCAGAGTTCACTGCTAACCCAGGCACTCAGAGATCCCAGAAAAAGCTGCATCTCAGGCCCCTATGATATTCCTGCTGAACTTTTCCGATTAGTAAAGTCCAGATCAGGCCACCTGATGTGAAGAGCCGACTCATTGGAAAAGACCCCAATGCTGGGAAAGATTGAAGGCAAGAGGAGAAGGGGGCAACAAAGGATGAGATGGTTGGATGGCATCAATGACTCAATGGACATGAGTTTGAGCAAACTCAGGGAGATAGTGAAGGACAGGGAAGCCTGGTGTGCTGCAGTCCATGGAGCTGCAAAGAGTCAGACACAATTTAGTGAATGAACAACAATAAGATCAGGCCAAGTAGGGTCAGAGAACTTTGAGTTTCCCAGGTGATGTGAAGTGGCTTTGAGGATCTAATTGTGGGGAAGTTAATACATGTCCTGAGTCCAAAGTTAATACAAGTCCTGGGGTGGAAGATGTTCCCAAGGGCATGGAGGATGCTCTTATGTAACAGGTTGCAGAGATAACACCTGCCTGTCATCCTCCTCAACTGAGGAGACCCAGCTTGCCCAAAGTCTTGCCTGGTCACATGCCACATTCATTGACTCATCAACAGGGTGATATGAAAGCCCAATGCTCTCCCCTAAGCTCAGGACAACCCTGAAGGAACATCCTAGCACCAGAGCTCCATGGGAGCCCCGCTGATATCTTCATTAGGATTTTGTTGCAACTCAACTTCTTCTATAGGGCTATCCAGTCCTGCTTCCTCTCCCTCCCTTCCACAGAAGTTGATTCTAAAAGTAGCTCTTGAGAAAATGATATGCTCATCTTCACCTCAGAGTCTGTTTCCCAAGGAAACCAACCTGAGACAAAGAGGTTGTGCTGGATAGCAAAAAAGGCAGGGAAACCCCTTGTCTTCTAGGGGCCACACCAGTCATGGATGAATCGAATTATTTATATATGCTACTACATACCAAATGGCCTTACTATCCTGAGAGCAGTGAGAGTCCACAAAAGCGTTTATGCCAAAGAGGTGTATAATCAGATCTGTGTTCTGAAAGACATGGATAAAGAAAGGAAAAGATTGTAGGGCAGGGCAGGAGAAATGGGAGTAGCCTGATTAGGAGGTAATCATATTCCTTTATGTAGAAGATGACAGTGGATACAGAGAACTAGATTTAAGATATGTTTAGGAGGTAAAACTAACAGGGTCTGATGGGGAATAGATATGAGTGGATGAGTGAGGATGAAGAGCATGGGTCTCTTCTTGGTTTAACCAAATGGATAAATTATATGCCACATACTGAACAGGGTTGGGCAGGAGAAAGGAATGTCTGAGCGTAGATCATGAATTCAGCCTTGAATGTTCGAGGTGCAAAGTGAAGATTTCCAGGTCAAAGGATATACAAGTCTGTATAATGGGCTCAAGATGATTCAGTTACTAAGAAATGGGATCAAGATTTGAACCTAAAATGTATCTGGTTCCAAAGCGCTCTTGACCATTATGCCACCATGAATCCCTCCCTCTGAAGTCTTCAGAGCTCGATAGAAGGTGTGAAGATGGCTGGAGGTGGAAGGAAGCGTAGGATGATAGAGGCTAGAGATAAGAGGCTGTCCAGTCTTCAGCAGGGTCCATTGTTGGGTTTCCCGGTGTGGAATTCATCACTCCAGAACAATGGGATAGAATGGTGGCGTCACAAGGGGAGGGGGAGTCTTGTCATCTCATAGAGGATGTTTGGGCCCTGCTCTGCATTCTGCTTTTCTAACACCTCTCCTGGCCTTGACATCCAGTCGGTCACTGAGGCAAACGCAGGGATCACAAGGATAGTGTGATCAGTCAGTGCCTGACTATGGATGCTTGGAGAAAGGGGTGCCAGTTGAGAGTGGGCCAAGAGTCCCAGGAAACAACCCTTGTGCTGGGGTTGAGCCCATTCCAGAGGTGAGAGAGAAGGAGGTGAACATGATAGTTCCTCTCTATTTCTGAGTGTGTTTTCTTCTGCCCCTCCAGTTCCTTACTACAGAGCTAGTCCCAGACCGAGCACAGACAGGAGAGAGGCAGACCTCACTTTCCCAGGTATGTTTCTATGTGTGTTGCTTTTACTTCTTTGAGAATGTTCCTCAGAGCTCTACCTTCCCCATTCTGTAATGTACAAACAATCACCATCTTGAAAACTCTTAACTTCTTTCCGTCAAATTGTCATAAACAATTTCTCTGAAAGAGGAGAAAAGAGGCAACTTCCTGTATTGTATGTAGGGATCCACAGCAAAGCCAGGAGCCCACACCAGACATTGCGCTGGGACTCGTTTTATACCTTTGACCCCTCTGGAGTGAAGAGAAGTCTCAACTATATAGCCAAGAGGATGAGGCCAGAAGTCTACCTTCCTTCCTGGAGCTCTGCGGCTCAGGGAGGCCCAGCTATTCCACTCGTGCCGGAGCTTTAACCCACCTGCCCATCACGAGCCTCCAGACGTTTCTGGCCCAGACTGCATCTCTGAGGATGCTAGATAGGCAAGGGCTCAGGATTAGGGAAAATCTCTCAGATGGGATGAGACACAGGAAGGAACACAAGCTTTGGGCATCGCACCCCTTGGCACTGGAGACCCTGAACGCTTCCAGCAGCAACTTGTCTGTTTGTAGCAACCTTGTCTGTCCTGTTTAAAATTTCAAAGAAAAAGTGGCCCAGTCCCACAGTTTTTTCTCTCATCACAATCCTGTTCCTCTGACATCATGAAAGTAGGAACTGTCCTCTCTCTGTAGAGCACAGCCAGCCAGGCCTCTCCAGGACCACATTGACACCGAGCAGGCTCCAAGGGCCACCATGATGCCTGTCCTTGATTTCCCATCCTACTCACATCTGCCCTCCCTTCTGCTGGCTCTGCTGCTGAAACTCACAGGTGAGTGGGACCTCCTTCGCTTGGTTACTGTTTCCTCCCCACCTGCTTCCCTAGAATTTCTTTGAGGAGGGATTTCCTTGGTCCATCGTAAAACAGGCAGAATTTAGAGATCTAGACTTGAATGGCCTCCAGCACACAAAATCTCCCAGTGACTGTGTCTGTTTCACCCCTTTGGGTCAGGGACTCGTCCCCGTGATCAGCAGGCTGAACAGAGCAAATGCGACAGCTCTTATCCCCCAGCCACTGGGGACACAGAGTCTGTCTTCTCATTGGTCACCAGCACACATATGCTACCCACTAAGTGAAGAAAAACATCTTAGAAAAGATGAGATTATAAAAGCAAGAAAAGAATCCACAATGCCCCCATCAGATAATCAGTGTTAAAGTTTTGCAGAGGTCTGAGTGTTCAGAGAATATTGGTCAGAAGCGCACACTAGAGGTCTCTTTGGGTCAGTGATGGAAGCTGAGCCCTGTAGTCTCCCTAGCTTAACTGTGTGGTTCTGCCTCTATTTGCTGAAAATAAAAACAATTTTGGAGAGTCTTTCCCCCAAGGACATTAGTCCATTTCGGTAGAAGCTTTGAGTCCCAGTTGCCACAGAAGATAGCTTGAGGGGTTTAGATGAGACGAAAAAGGAAGCACACCATTATCTGAGAGTGAGGAAGAGGTGGAAAGGCTTGGATTTTAAGGGAGTAAAGTATGTGAGGCACTCACACCCACTGGGGAATTTTAACAGACGTCTAAACAAGAATTCACACCAATTTTATACAATCTCTTCAAAAAATTAAAAAAAGAAGCCACATTTTATGTGGCTCATTTTATGAGGAAATTACTACTTTGATAGCAACAGTAAATAAAGATTGTACATAAAAAAGAAAACTATAGCCCAATATATGTCATGAACTTAGATACAAAATTCCTCAACAAAGTATTGGCAAATAGGATTTAACATTGTATAATGTTACATATTATGACTAAGTCAGATCTTAGTTTCAATACTGAGAAAATCAATCATTATAATCCATCACATCAAATTAAAGCAGAAATAAATTGCATGATAATGTCAATTGATGCAGAAAAGGCACTTGACAGATCTAACACCTATTAATGATGAAAACTCTCAAACTAGAAATAGGGAGGAATTTCCTCAACTTGATAATATCCACAAAAACCCTACAGCAATATTACTATACTCAATGGTGGAAGACATTTTCTTTCCAAGATAAGGAAAAATGCAAAAAGATATATTCTCACAACTCTTATTCAACAAGTGGAAAGAGAGAGAGAGGAAGAAGGAAAGGATATAGATTGGAAATGAAGAAATAAAACTGTAGATGCGGTGAGTTTCTACATAGAAAATCCCAAAGAATCTACTAAAAATCCACAAATGATCAACTCCCAGAGCTGAGTTCAGCAAGATAGCAGGAAACAAGATCAACGCACAAAATCAGTTGCATTTCTGCATACTGAAACAAGGGCTTCCCTGGTGGCACAGCCTGCAATACGGGAGATCTGGGTTTGATCCCTGGGTTGGGAAGATCCCCTGGAGGAGGGCATGGCAACCCACTGCAGTATTCTTGCCTGGAGAATCCCATGGACAGAGAAGCCTGGTGGGCTATAGACCATGGGGTCTCAAAGAGTCGGACACAACTGAGCGACTAAGCACAGCACATACTGAAACAAACATGTGACCATTTAAATTACCTCCAAGAAAGGTAATCAGTTCAGCTCAGTCTCTCAGTTGTGTCTGACTCTTTGTGACCCCATGGACTGCAGCATGCCAGGCTTCCGTGTCCATCACCAACTCCGAGAGCTTGCTCAAACTCATGTCCACTGAGTCAGTGATATCATCCAACCATCTCATCCTCTGTCCCCTTCTTCTCCTGCCTTCAATCTTTCCCAGCATCAGGGTCTTTTCCAATGAGTCAGTTCTTCACATCAGGTGGCCAAAGTATTGGAATTTCAGCTTCAGTATCAGTCCTTCCAATGAATATTCAGGACTGATATCCTTTAGGATTGACTGGTTGGATCTCCTTGCAGTCCAAGGGACTCTCAAGAGTCTTCTTCAACACCACAGTTCAAAAGCATCAATTCTTTGGCGCTCAGCTTTCTTTATAGTCCAACTCTCACATCCTACATGACTACTGGAAAAACCATAGCTTTGACTAGATGGACCTTTGTTGGCAATGTAACATCTCAGATTTTTAATATACTGTTGAGGTTTGTCATGGCTTTTCTTCCAAGTCACAAGCGTCTTTTAATTTCATGGCTGCAGTCACCATCTGCTGTGATTTTGGAGCCCAAGAAAATAAAATCTGTCACTTAGGTATAAACCTAATTTGTATCAAGAGCTGTGTGAAGAAAGCTACAAAATTGATCAAAAACATCAAAGAAGAACTGAATATGTATATTTATTTATATATAAATATGTATTACATGTTTATAGGTAGTAAGATAAATATTGTCAAGGTATCAGTTCTCTCCAACTTGATCTGTATATTAAATGCAATCCCAATTAAAAGCCAGCAGGTTAATTTATGGATAGTGACAGACTGATTCTGAAGTTTATATGATGGAACAAAAGATCCAGAATAGCCTACACACTATTGGAGAAGAACAAAGTGAATTTCCACAAAAATTAATTGAAAATGAATAATATGAGTGTGCACTAGTCATAAAAAATAAAATGTTGCAGTATTAAAAAATGAATCATAGACCTAAATGTAAAACACGGAACGATGTAGAAGAAAGTCTAGATGACCCACGGTATGGCAATGACTTTTAAAATAATAGACTTTATATTTCAAGACAGTTTTAGGTTCACAGCAAAACTAATCACAAGGTATAAGGATTTCCAATACTACTTTCCGCCCCTTGCCTCTCTGTTTTCAGCATCCTCCACTAGAGTGATCATTTTGTTACAACTGATGAACCTGCAATGACAAATTATTAACAGCCAAAGTCTAGAGTTTCCATGATGGTTCACTCTTGGCATTGTATATTCCGTGGATTTGGGTAAATGTATTATGGTAGGCATCCCTCAACCTTATGGTATTATACAGAGTAGTTTCTGCACCCTAAAATTATCTGTGCTCTGCCTATTTTTCTCTGTTTTCATCCTAACCCCTGTCAAGCCTGATATTCTTCTTGTTTCTTAAGTTTTACGTGTAATATAGTCTCCTGTCATGTAATTAGAATCCTGCAGCATGTGCGTGCTAAGTCCCTTCAGTTGTGTCCAACTCTGCGACCTCATGGACTGTAGCCCACCAGGCTCCTCTGTCCATGGGATTCTCCAGGCACGAATACTGGAGTAGGTTGCCATGCCCTCCTCCAGGGGATCTTCCCAACTCAAGGATGGAACCTACATCTCTCATGTCTCCTGCACTGGCAGGTGGGTTCTTTACCAGTAGCGCCACCTGAGAAGCCCCTACAGCATATGAGCTCATCCTTTAAACTAGTAATAAACACTTAAGGTTCCTCCATATCCTTTCAGGGCTTATCTGCTCATTTCTTTTCAGTGCTGAATAATATCCCACTGTCTGGATTTACCACAATTTCTTTATCCATTCACCAACTGAAGATCTTGTTTTCATGTTTTGACAATTGTGAATAAAGCTGCTATAAGTTATGAGGGAGAGTCTGTTCCAGGCCTCTCTCAGCTTCTGGCAGGCTCAAACATTCTTTAAATTGTAGATGGTGTTTTCCCTGTGTCTTCGCATCATCTTTCTGTGCATGACAACTAAACTAAGCTGTGTCTGAATTCCTGATTCACATAAACCAAAAAACGATGAATAGGTGTTTCTTAAGCCACTAAGTTTGTGGTAATTTGTTATTCAGAGATAGAAAAGAAATATGCTAGGCTTGAGAAATCATTCAAGAGGGAAAATCTCCCATAGTTTGTAGAACTTATCTTACATATATTCTGTGTGTCTTCCATGAACTCATTGTCAGTGCTCCTTGTGCAATACTGAAGAACATGTAACAAGAGCAGTACTGAGTACTAAGAATTTGTTGCATTGGGTTGAGCATCCATAAACATGACACATTATAATAACTGAGATGTTTTCACATTGCAATAACCAATTTTATACCCCTTAAGGAAAATATAAATTTCATGGAGAATGCAATTCTCGGTGTGTATCTGGGCACCTGGGCCTCCCCATGAAGAAAGGGGGATGCCTGCGTTTGAAAGTTGCACTCGGTATATAGCATGTTGGTTATCAGTACAGTGTCCTTAGCTTTTGGCCTTATCTCTAATTCTGGTTGTTCAGTCACTTTCACTCTCGTTAAGAGGCTCTTTAGTTCCTTTTCAATTTCCGCCATTAGAGTGGTATCATCGGCATATCTGAAGTTGTTGCTGTTTCTCCCTGCAATCTTGATTCGGCTTGTGATTCATCCAGCCTGGCATTTTGCATGATGTACTCTGCATAGAGGGCTTCCCTGGTGGCTTAATCAGTAAAGAATCCATCCGCCTGCAGTGGGGGAGACCTGGGTTCAATCCCTAGGTTGGGAAGATCCCCAAAGGTATGGCAACCCACTCCAGTATTCTTGCCTGGAGAATCCCCATGGACAGAGGAGCCTGGTAGCCTGCAGTCCATGGGGTTGCAAAGTGTCAGACACAACTGAGTGACTATGCACAGCACAGCACTCTGCATAGATGTTAAATAAGCAGGGTGACAATACACAGCCTTGTCGTACTCCCTTCCCAATTTTGAACCAGTCCATTGTTCCATGTCTGGTTCTAACTGTTTCTTATTCATCTGCATACAAATTTCTAAGCAGACAGGTACATAGAGAAAAATCTGACTCAACTTTTATTTCACATTTTTTATTTAATATAAATCCATTCATGGGTTCATAGACTGTATGTTTATTTAGTGCCCAATATGCTCCAATCTGGGGCTTTCCTAAAGGCTCTGCCGGTAAAGAATCTGTTTGCAATCAGGAATTGCAGGAGACGCAGGTTCTTGGGTCGGGAAGATCCCCTGGAGGAGGGCATGGCAACCCACTCCAGTGTTCTTGCCTGGAGAATCCCATGGACAGAGGAGCTTGGTGGGCTATAGTCCATGGAGTCACAAAGTCGCAGACATGACTGAGTGACTAACACGCACACACATGCTCCAGGCTATCCTTATATCTTGATGGAGAAAGAAAGTTCCATTTTCCTTTCTCTATACTGGTCCTCTTCTCCTCATTCCACATGGCAACCAAATTTGTGGTTTTTATACTTTGGTGCCAGTACATGTTGCTTAAGAGTGTGCAGTGCAGTCAGACCCCCACCTTGATCTAGAACCAGACCCTCAGAACATTTTGCACCAAAACAAGGAATATGAGAAATGACACACAGTTTCTTTCTAGGAACTTCAAGTGAAGATTTCCAGGTGAACCAGCCTGAGAGTTCAGTGTCAGCCAAGGCTGGAGATGTCATAACCTTGGGCTGCAACATTCCTGCACCATCTCCAGTAGGGCCTGTTTTGTGGTTCAAGGACGCTAAGCTAGAACGAAAATTAATCTACAGTTTCAATGGACGCCGATTCCCCCGAGTATCCCAAGTGGTAAATCCAATGGCCAACCAAACAGACTATTCCATCCGCATCAATGATGTGTCGCCTAAGGATGCTGGCATGTATTACTGTGTGAAGTTAACAATAGGGCATCCTGACATGGCATATATAGCTGGCCCAGGCACCTATGTGTCTGTGAGTGGTAAGTACAGTTTTGACAAATTCCATCTTCTTGATTTTTAAGATAAGTTTTTAAAAATCTTCAACTTGTACCAAATCATTACTCTACACTGGATACTGTACCCCTTCATTCACAATCTGCCCTGTAGGCTGGGATTCTGCAGACAGCCCTTCTGATCCTTCTGGCAGCCTATGCCCAATATTGAATCAGGCTGAGTCGACAGGCTATGCCCTTTTTAATGGCCACCAGAAACTGAATATAGGACAATGGACATTCCCAGTTGAAAAGATGTTGGGTAGGTAAAATGCACAACATGTGTGCACTCTATGAACACTCTATGAACATGTCCAAAAAGTTAGAAAACTGAGAGTTGGGAGACTTGTTTAGAAAAGACCTCCCAGAGAGGTTGAGTCACTCTCCTAGCACTTGACCTTAACCTGAGAATCTGCCCTGAGCATTGCACTCCAAGCTCTGTTGTCCTTTTATTCTCAGAGGACAGCCAGTGCTTCTTACTCCTTGCCACTGTGAATTAATTTCATGAAATACAATGAGTTTAGGGTATCCTCTGTTCTGCTGGGAAAACTTGTCTTCTCCAGTAATGTTTTCCTCAAGTTCAGCCACATTCCATGGCATCTAACTGGCCAGGGAAAATTCACACATTGATTTCAACTTGGAAAATCTGGGTATAGATAGCTTACCTGCCATTCTTTCCTGGCTTCAAGAGTTCCCTTGTCTCCCCAACCAACATCTTAGGCCATCTGTGATTTGATGCTTTGATAACTTGAAAGGAGAGATTATTATCAGGATCTGATATCATGTGGGGTAGTAAGGTTGGTGGTAGTGGGAGTTAGGGGTCAGTGGTGGACCCTCAAAATTGATGCAATCCCTTGAGGCTCTTCTCTTTTTTTGTTGAGTAGAATCAACTGTCCCCCTTTTCCCTCTTGAGGAGGTAAGTAAAAGACCCATACTCTGCCTTCCAGAATATATGCCCACCTGATTTTTAGGTTTCTGATTTCTTTACTTCCTCTTTCTCTGCACCTCTCAGCATTAATGTCTCTGCAAAATCAGTGACTCATTACCCTTCAGAGGAGAGATGAAGGCCAGTGCCAAGTTCTCTGGATGTGTGGGGTGGGCAGAGGAGACTTGGATCCATCTCCAAGTGTATTGAGCAATTTTGGGCATTTAGATAAGAAGGAAGACTTATTTCTATGAACATTACCCATTCACAAACCCAGCCCTCCCTATCCATCTTCCTCTTTTTTACTTAGGGGCTGAGGAATGAAATTGGGGAGGTGATTCATCTAGTCCTCTGAACTGACTCCCCTCTGTTAGCGCTTGGGGAAAGAGCGGCCTGCACTTGCAGTGGCCACTCTAAACTCAGTGTGGGTACTCCAACATGTCACTAAAATGATGAATGATTGAGGCCCAACCTTGATCTGGATCCAGTTTTCTTAATCCTGCCTAGGTCAGAGCAGAGGAAATGGGAGATGATTTTGAGTTTCTTTCCAGGAGTCACAAATGAGATGTTCAACGTGCAGCAAGCTGAGATATCACAGACTGTGTCACCTGGGGAAACACTCACTTTGAGTTGCAGCGTACCAGATTCATTTCCAAATGGACCCGTCTTATGGTTCAAGGGGACTGGACCAAATCGTGAATTAATTTATAATTTCCAAAGGGGTCTCTTTCCCAGAGTAAACCAAGTTGGAAACATGGCCAAAGCTGGCAACAAAGACTTTTCCATTCGCATCAATGAAATCTCTCTTAAAGATGCCGGCACGTACTTCTGTGTGAAGTTCAAAGAGGGAAAACCTGACATAGAGTACCAATCAGGTCGGGGCACCAAGGTGACTGTTACTGGTGAGTTTGAGTCTTTCACCTTCTGTCATGTGATATTGTGACAGTAATAATGTCCTCTAGTCATTGAACAACTACATTCTGCTAGATACTGTCAAAGGTACAGTGTACACTTGATCTTGTCATTCTCTCAGAAACCTGTGATTTAAGATTTTTATGGGAGGAGAATCTGAGAGCCAGAAATGTTGAGTGATGAGAGATATTTTGTTTAACATTCCAACATTCAACCCACCCCCAATAGCTAGGCTAAACCAATTAAGGTAATTTCATGTCACCTACTGGCAGGTGACTCAGATAGACTGACTTAAGTCAATTTGTGTCCATAAGAGAAATCTGGGAAACTAATACAATTTTCTCTCCTGTTGGCTAGGAACAAGAAATAATTTTGTCCCGGATACTCCAGGCAGACATTTTTTGGCCACAAAGGGAACCAACTTGAATAAAAATCTACTCTAGAGAAGTGCAAAAATGTAAAGAATGTGGGTTGACAACACTGAATATCTGTATTGTTCCGGATTCCAACCCCACCTCTGGACCTCCAAATATAGGAGAGAAAACCTCTCCTTTAAGCCTGTTTGCTAAAGTCAGCACTGTTCTAATGGATGCCAGCTGATAAAAAGCATCCATAGAGCACTGAAGTACAATTTCAAGTCAGTTTTTTCTGTTTCTAGAGTCTTACTGTATTTTGTTTTTCTATTTTATTATGATCTCTGAGCTATACCCAGCCCGAGGAATGATTAAATTGGTGATATGAAAACATTACTGTTTATCGGGCATCTACTATATCTCAAACACTTTCCCTATATTATTATAGTTACTTGCATAGCAACTTTAGCATGACAATGCTTATCCTCACTGCACAGATGAGTAAACTGAAACTCTAGGAGATTCAGGAGTACAGACAATAGGGAATAGAGATGAGATTGGTCTGGGCTCTCTTCAGTATGCTTTATATTAGTGGAGAACCTTTTCTTACAAGGAGGAGGAACTTAATACATTAGTTTAATGACCCTCCCCACCTTCAAAGAAAAGAAAGGCGTTGTGTGATCCTATACCTGAGGAGAGTTCTAGCTTCCTCACGTGTTCAAGGCACGAATCAAGAATAAAAAGTCTGGATTTGGGCTCACGGCCTCCAAGGCTTTTACTCTCTGAAATTCTTTCAGCTCTGTCTCCTCCTATATTTGTCTTTCTTGCTTGTATGTAGGCCTTACCAATCCAATAAAGAAAATGTTGACATTCCTTCCCTTATCTTAGCAACCAGCATGGGAAGAGAGCTCCTTTTTCCCCAGACTCCACAAATGAGTCCCAGTGAATCACGCAAATTCGCCTTTCCTGTGCCTTTTACTTGCTCATATTTGCAAAGGAGAGGGGGTGTCAGGTAGAAAAATCATCAACCCATTGAAACAAGTGCTTAACATACTGAAAAGCAACATGTGTCTGCCTCAAGGTCTGAATTCTTCCTTTAATGTAGGAGAACATTCAGACCCAGAGGCTGGGCTTGCCGGAAGGTACACAGGCAGTTCTCTCATTCCCATAATCCTTTGGGTTTATGGCTTTGCCTTCTTCCTAATAATAAGACCCCAGTTAGATGGAGGTGGAGGTGTGCATGAGGGTGATTGAGAGGGAAATTATCATGAATGAGTTCAATTTCCCTATTAAAGTACAAATAGGTACCATTTAGACATGATAAATGAAAAGTACACATACAGTTTTAAAATATTGAGCTAAGTATACATTTGCTATAACTAATTGTCGCAATTTTAGGGTTTAAAACAACAGGAATAGACTTATGCAAATGGCGTGACAGTGTGAGGAGTTCCACAAACCTACTTGCCAGTGCAATTGGCAAAAAAAAAAAAAAATTAATTATTTAAAGGAGTGACATTAGCAGACTAGGAAGGTCCCCAGCCTTTGTTCTCCAGTCACGGGAAGGGATTCCAGTGAAAGCTGTAGGAGGGTGCAGTGTTTTTCACACTCTTACTCCTCCTTCAACCTGGTGTAGCAGCACAGCTGGGAGGAAACCTTACATGCCTGCTCTGCCCTTGGAAACACAGTGGGCCATTCACCCAACACTGTGACTTGTCTTGGGGTTGACTTTGGGATTAGTTTCGGTATCATCTGACTCAGAAGTCTAACAGGAACAGCAGCACAGTTTAGAAGTGCAGAAAACAGAAGCCACTGAAGAGGTTTCATTAGAGCTTCAGATATTAGGCAGTTCCACAGGAAGACACAAAGGGGTATAAGAGATTGAGAACTCCTAAGAAACAGGCAAGCTATATGGGGAATTTGAGACAGCTAAGCATAAACACAGCCTGTTGCTCAGTCACTCAGTCATGTCTGACTCTTTGAGACCCTATGGACTGCAGCGCGCCAGGCTTCCCTGTCGTTCACCATCTCCTGGAGCTTGCTCAAACTCATGTCCATTGAGTGATGCCATCCAACCATCTTGTCCTCTGTCGTCCCCTTCGTCTCCTGTCTTCAATTTTTCCCAGCGTCAGAGTCTATCCTAATGAGTCGGCTTTTTGCATCAGATGGCCAAAGTACTGGAGTTTCAGCTTTAGCATCAGTCCTTCCAATGAACACCCAGGACTGATCTCCTTTAGGATGGACTGGTTGGATCTCCTTGCAGTCCAAGGGACTCTCAAGAGTCTTCTCCAACACCACAGTTCAAAAGCATCAATTCTTCGGTGCTCAGCTTTCTTTATGGTCCAACTCTCACATCCTTACATAACTGCTGGAAAAACGATAGCTTTGACTAAATGGATCTTTGTCGGCAAAGTAATGTCTCTGCATTTTAATATGCCATCTAGGTTGACCATAGCTTTTCTTCCAAGGAGCAAGTGTCTTTTAATTTTGTGGCTGCAGTCACCATCTGCAGTGATTTTGGAACCCAAGAAAATAAAGTCTGTCACTATTTCCATTGTTTTCCCATCTATTTGCCATGAAGTGATGGGACCAGATGCCATGATTTTTGTTTTTTGAATGTTGAGTTTTAAACCAGCTTTTTCACTTTCCTCTTTCACCTTCATCAAGAGGCTCTCAGCCTAGAGAAGATATATACCCAGAAAAGACTTGAAAGGCCCCAGAATCTAGCCAGGTTGATTGAAGAAGGCATTCCCCGGCACAAAGCCAGTCCATAAAGAGATGGTTGTTTTAGTTCATTCAGGCTACTGTACCAAAACAGCATATAGTGAGAAGTTCATAAATAATAGAAATTTATTTCTCATAGCTCTGGAGGCTGGAAATCCAAGATCATTGCACCAGCATGGTCAGGTGAGGGCTCTCTTTTAGATCAAAAAACTCTCATTGTATCCTCATATGGCAGAAGCAGCTAGGGAGCTCTGTGTGGCCTGTTTTATAAGGCCTTACTACCATTTATCATGATTCCACTTTCATGAGCTAAGTATTTCCTGAAGCCTCCTCCTACTAATTCTATGACATTCAGGGCATAGGATTTTAAATATGAATTTGGGAAGACATAAAAATGGTGTGTTCAAATGTCCAAATTTCAACCAAAGACCAGAAAGCATACTAGGAAAACATGGCCTCTTCAAATGAAAAAAAATGAAAGCTCCAGAAACTGACTCTAAAGAAACTCAGATTGTGTCTCGACTCACACATAAAATTATTTTCTAATTTTCCTTGTTATGGCTTCTTAGATATATCCATCATTTAAAAGCATACATTTAATTATCAAATACATGGAATTTTTTAAAAGTATCTTTGATATTAATTTCTCATTTAAATGCTTTCTTCCTTGCAATCACTCTGTGTTTTTTCAGTCTTCTAACTTTACTGAGGCTTTTAATGGCTAAATCAAATCTCTCTTGGTAAATGTCACATTGCCCTTGAAAATATGTGGGTTATTTTCAAATATCTTTTGATGTTGATATCTAACATAATTCCCCAGTGATAAGAGTACAGACTCTTTATGATTTCAATACCTTTGAATCATGAAATTTTTGCACCTTGTTTTACATCCCTGGGTATGTTCCAGTGTCTTCTAGTTTATAGTCTATGGGAACTTGAGTAGAATTTGTATCCTACTGTTTTGTGAAAATTACATAAATCTTAATTACGTTAAATTGGTTTATAGTGCTCTTCAGGTCTACTATATCCTTCTACCTCTCTGTATATTCATTCTATTAATTTTGAGAGTTTGATATTGAAACTCCAACTAAAAATCTTAATTTATCTACTTAAAAAAACAATTGTATTATATAAAAATAATTATAATATCTTACAATTGTAATGATTGAACTATATGTAAACTTGTTCTGTATTTTCCAAGTCTCCTGTAAATGTGTTATCATACTTTCATAATTTAAAAAAGAAGAAAAAAAATCAGCTGAGATGTGAAGAAGTATGGAGCTGAGCCCAGACGAAATAATCAACCCACAGAATCACAAATTAAATAAACGGTTATTGTTTTAAACCACAGCAGTTTTGGTGTGGTTTGTTACCCAGCAGTAGCTAAACAATACAATGCCTTCCCTACTAAAATAAAAAAAAATTAATTTAAAATAAAACTTAAGAAATAGCTGAGAAAGGAAATCACATAGATAAGTGGCTAATTCATGAAGATGACATGGAGGTCCTGAGAGTCTTGTGGAATTTTCCAGGCCTGTGGTCTATTCAAAGAGGTTTCAATATATCAGGGTCCTCAACAGGAGAACATGTAGAGGCAGTAATGGGGTTTACCGATGGTGCCATGAAAGGTACTAAAGGCCACATAGGACCAGCCACACCTCAACAGACCCCAGGTGAAAAGTGCTCAAGGAGCAGGTCATACCACCTCTGAAACAGACTCAGACCCCACGACAGTGCTCAGACCCAAGCCCCACCATTCCATCCAGAAAGACACTTCAGCTTCCTCTGCACCCAGGACCATCTGTAGAAGGAAAGAAGAAGGGAAGCACTGAAAACTTGAGTTTTTTTTCCTAAAAAAGACTGAGTTAACCTAAGAGATAATGATGGCAGCATATCAGTGCTTACTCTACACCATAAATGCAACCATATTTTTATTTTAATTTTACAGATCAGGAGTGTCCAATGATTGTCCTAGAGTCACACAGCCAGATCTGGGTAAAGCCATGATCTAAATCCAGACAGTACAGCTAAAGAGGCTATCAGAACACGGAAAAGCCTGGGATTAGTTAGCAAACTTAATTTTTCCTTCCTAATAACTGGCATGATGGAGGAGGGGGTGGTTCTTGAGAAAGTTTAGATCAGTTACAGAAAATTAAGATGCCACAAACACAAATTTTTGCACCATCTGAGTATGTTACATTTGGACCCCAGAAAATGGAGCTTTAGAGTGTTGCCCACAATTATACAATTAGGAAGTGAGTCTGTGCCCACCCTCCAATGCCAAAAGGAGGCCACTAGGGGTCTTTATTTATAATCATTCCTTCTTAAGCAAATGTTACTTCCTCATTTCCTACATATCATGAATAATGATGGATAATATGTTTGCCCTTTATATTATGCTAGGCCCTCATGCATATATGTCATATCATTCCTGCATTTAGGAAGAAATTGATCCTGTCCCTATTTTACAGATGAGGCAACAAAGCCTTGAAGATGACAAGTGACTTTGAAAGGTCACACAACCAGGAACAGGGAGACCCAATTCTCAATTTTTATTTTAGACTTTTTATTTTATATTGTGGTAGAGTCAACTAACAGTGTTGTGGTAGTTTCAGTTGAACAGAGAAGGGACTCAGCCATACATATACATGTATCCATTCTCCCCCAAACTACCCTTCCATCCAGACTGCTACATGACACTAAACAGAATTCCCTGTGCTGTATAGTAAGACCTTGCTGGTTATCAGTTTTAAATATAGCGATGTGTACATGTCCATTCCAAACTCCCTAACTATCCCTTCTCCCCAGCTGCCATAAGTTTCTTCTCTAAATCTGTGTCTCTCTGTTTTGCAAGTTCATCTGTGTCATTTCTTTCAAGATTCCACGTGTAAGGCATGTCATACGATATTTCTTCTTCTCTAGAGGCAGACTCAATTCTTGATCCAGAGTCAGGCTGACTTGAGGCCACACTCCTCTTCTTCTCTAGAGGCAGACTCAATTCTTGATCCAAAGTCAGGCTGACTTGAGGCCACACCATGACAGCCGTGTTCATCTGCCTCCCAGGATGGCAAGGACAGGGTCTGGGAAAGGTCATTAAGGTTTTGACAGACTGAATACAGGAACTACTGCTCAGATGTGAAAGCCGGAAACTCCTCCATTCCCCTTCTTCCTCTTGCACCAGCAGCTTTGTTTTGCTGCAGCGAAAATACTTCCCCAAGTAGTCCTGGTCATGAGGAGCAGAAAAGGCCTTGTATACGGACCCCATCAGAGACTCCAACACCCATCAGAGAGTAGAATGGTGGCCAGTCTAGGTGACCACAGGAGGTGCCCTGTGCCCCCTCTGATGCCCACCCTGACCTGCCTGGCTCACTCACCTCCCTGCTCCTGGCTGCTGGCACTGCTCCTTGTCCTCTCTGGTGAGTAGGATCTGAAACAGAAGAGGATCCACCCCTGGCTGACCCCAGAGACAGGTGCCAGGAGGGGCCTGACCCCTACCAGATGGAGTGGGAGGGAGAAGCTGAGAATATCTCTGATCCCCGCAGGACTCAGACCAAGTGTCTGGAGAAGCAGAACTTGTAGGGCAGCACAGGGAAGCCAAACTCGCAGGCTCTGGGCTCACAGCACTATGTTTTGGCTCAGACACTTGTATGCCCATCTACAAAGGACCGCTCTTTGCGATCTTTCTCTAGGGGTGCTGTGAGTTATTAAATATTAATATAAAAATAGTGAGGCTCAGTCCAGGATCAGTTACATAATTTGCCCAGCCCTGTGCAAAATGAAATGGCAGATCCTTTGTTCCAAAGATATTAAGAATTTTAAAACAGCAATAGTAGAGCATTAAGGCAAGCATGAGGCCCTTCTAAGCTTTGGGCCCTGTGCAACTAGACAAATCAAACATCCGTAAGTCAGTGGGGCTCCAAAAATGAGACTAATCCTAGGGCCCATCTCATGACTTTGTGTGAGATAATACCTATAAATACCTGGCACAATGCGAAGATTTAATAACTATTGCCTACTACTATCATACCCATGTCTCCTCTAAGTCAGGATCAGGCTGATTTAGCTCCTGAGTTTGGGGGCTTCCAGGTACAGCTCAGACTCGGAGCCCAGAACCCTTTGATCAACCAGACAAGATGCGTGGCTCTCAGCGGGCTCGTTCTGTCCCCTGCCCATCTGGGTCTCGGCCCCAGGCCCTACTGAGATCTAGATTCTGTTCATTACACCTTGGGTCCCCCAGAATGGTCAGCCCCAAGAGAGGTTTCCTTGAGTAAAGTATGAGTCATAATTCTTAGTAACGCATTTCATAGATACTTTGAGTGTCCTTTAGGTATTAGGCACTAGGTTAGGAAATCATATATCTAGGCTAACCAAAGTAAAATATATTCAAAATATTTGTGGAATATAGTGATTTCTAGCAGACTTCCAAGAGAGAACCCCTTAACAGGGGTCATGAAAACCAGAGCGTGCAGATAGAAAATGCATGGGACGGAATCCCAGAGCTGTGGGGAAGGGACTAGCCCAGCTCTTCAGACAAGGCAGAGACAAAGCACCCCGGACATTTCCCAAAGTCTGTGTGATAACACAGAAGGAGAGTCAAGAAAAAGGGAGTGAGAAGGGGTGAGAGGCACAGGGCCTTATTCCAGGCTCCAGTTTCCTCTCTGCTGTTTCACTTTCCCAGACTTGCCCCAGCTGGGATAAGAACCACGAGACTTTCTGAGTCCTCACCTTCTCCACTGCCTCTTCTCCGTTAGCTCTCCCCTTCTCATAACACACAGAAGCTTCATCTTCACAGAATTTTAATAGCTTTATTGAGGTACAACTGACATAAAGCAAACTGTATGTGTTTAAGGTGTGCAATTTGACACGTTTTGTGGGCATTGGACATGTTTAATACTTGTGAACTTATCACAAAGATAATCAAAATGAAGAATGAACCTAACATTCATAAAAGTTTCCTTGCATCCTTTCCATTCCTCCCCCTCCCCAGGCAACTGCTTATCTGTCTCCCACCTCTGCCTCTCATCACTACAATTTAGTTTGCACTTTCTAGAAATTTATACAACAAACATGCAGTACATACCCTTGTTTGCCTGGCTTCTTTTATTCATTGTGATTATTTGAGAGTCATTCATGTTGTTGCACATATCAATAGTCATTTCTTTTCTATCTACTGTATGGATAAACCATAGTGTGTTTCTCCACTCACTTATTGACAGACATTTGGGTTGTTCACAGTTTGGTGTGGACATATGCTTTCATTTCTTTTGGGAAAATACTAAGAATAAAATGACTTGATCATATGGCAAGTGATTGTTTAACTTTTAAAGACATTGCCTTAAAGTTTTCCAAAGTGATTTACCATTTTATATTTTCATCATCAATGTAGGAGAATGACATTTCCCCCACATCCTCGCCAATATTTGGTATGGTCAGCCTCTTCAATTTTAGTCATTCTAAAAAGTTATATCTCATTGTGGTTATAATTTGCATTTCCCTAATGTATGATGATGTTAAACATCTTTCTTGTGCACCTCTGTGATGAAGATCTGTTCAACTCCCATTTTTAAACTGTATTTCTCATGACTGAGTTTATATATTCTGGCTACAACCTTTTATCAGATGTATGCTTTGCAAAGATTTTCTCCTACTCTGTGGCTTGTCTTTTCTTCCTTCACAAGTGTCTTTGAACTCCTTTTAAGAGTTCTTAGTTTTTATGAACTCCAGTTTATCAATTTGTCATTTTATCGATCATGATTTTTGTATTATATTTAAATATATGATAGAATTGATGCTTTTGAACTATGGTGTTGAAGAAGACTCTTGAGAGTCCCTTGGACTGCAAGGAGATCCAAACAGTCCATCCTAAAAGAGATCAGTTCTGGGTGTTAACTGGAAGGACTAATGTTGAAGCTGAAACTCCAATACTTTGGCCACCTGATGCGAAGAGCTGACTCACTTGAAAAGACCCTGATGCTGGGAAAGATTGAGGGTATGAGGAGAAGGGGATGACAGAGGATGAAATGGTTGGCTGACATCACTGACTCAATGGACATGAGTTTGGGTAAACTCCGGGAGTTGGTGATGGACAGGGAGGCCTGGCATGCTGCAGTCCATGGGGATGCAAAGAGTCGGACACGATTGAGCGACTGAACTGAACTGAACTAAATATGATAGAACTCACTAGTGAAGCTATCTGGGCTAGGAGTTTTCTTTGTGGGAAGGTTTTTAATATAAATGAAATGTTTTAAATAGAATAGGACTGTCAAGTTTATCTCTTCTTGAGATAGCTTTCGTAGTTTGTATTTTCAAAAAATGTGCTTGTGTTGTCAAATATACATAGCCATGAAAATTGTTCATAATAATGCCTTATTATCCTTTTGTTTCAGTCACTGTGGTGTCCAACTCCTTGCGATACCGTGGACTGCAGCACATCAGGCTTCCCTGTTCTTCACTATCTCTTGGACTTTGCTCAAACTCATATCCATTGAGTTGGTGACGCCATCCAACCTCTGTCATCCCTTTTCCTCCTGCCTTCAATCTTTCCCAGCTTAGGGTCTTTTCCAGTGAGTCAGCTCTTCATATCAGGTGGCCAAAGTGTTGGAACTTTAGCTTTAGCATCAGTCCTTCCAATGAATACTCAGAGTTAATTTCCTTTAGGATTGACTGGTTTGATCTTTTAATATATGATTATCCTTTTAGTCTCTGTAAAATCTGTACTGCTGTCACTTCTCTCATTCCTAATTTCTGTTTGTGGCTCTCTCTCTCTCTCTCTCTCATCCTCCTTCTTTCCCTTTTTAGTAGGACTAAAGGTATATCAATTTTAATGCTCTTTGAGAAGATTTTATTCTTACTGATTTTCTCTATTGATTTTGGTTTTCTACTCTATTGATTTTCACTCATAAATTTGTGTTTTCCTTTCTTTTATTTTGTTTTGATTTAATTTGCTCCTTTTTTCTAATTTTTTGGGTGAAACTAAGGTCCTTCATCTAAATCGTTTCTTCTTTCCTAAATAAGCATTTAATGCTATAAATATCTACCAGCTTAAGCAGCATGTTACAAATTTTAATGTTGTGTTTTCATTTAGATCAAGATACTTTCTAATTTCCCTTTTATTTTGTCTTTGACTCATGTGTTATTTAGTTTTTAAACATCTGTAGTTTTCCAGGCATCTGTCTGTTATTGATGCTACTAATTTAATTCCATTGTGGTCAAAGTTTATACTTTCAATGACTTGAATTCTTTTAAATTTATTGAGACTTTTTTATGACTCACAGCATGCTCCATCTTTTTAAATGTTCCTTGTGCATTTTAAAATAACTATATATCCTTCTATTGGGGAATACAATTTTCTGTAAGTATCAGACTAAGTTGATAGTGGTTTTTTAAAATATGAATTTATTTGGCTGGGTTGGGTCTTAGTTGCTGCACCTGGGATCTGCGTGCATCGGGCAGGATCTTTTCTTCCTGTGCATGGGCTCTCTAGGTGTGGCCCACGGGTCTCTAGTTGTGGCGCCCAGGCTCTGGAGTCTGCGGGCTCAGTAGTTACAGTATGAGGGCTTGGTTGCTCCACAGCATGTGGGATCTCAGTTCCCCGATCAGGGATCTAACCTGCATCTTCTACCTTGCAAGGTGGATTCTTAACCACTGGACTACCAGGGAAGTCCTTAATAGTGTTTAAATCTTCTGTATTCTTTCTGATTTTCAGCCTGTTTGTTCTATAGTTACATTGTTCTAACCATATCTGCCTGATATAGTTCTATCTATATCAACTATTGAAATAAGGATACTGACATCTCAGAGGGCAACTGTGGGTTTGTCTGTTTCTCTCTGCAGTTCTCTTGGGTTTTCTTCGTATACTTTGAAGTTCTGTTATTAGGTGCATGAATGTTTGGCAGTTTTATGTCGTCTTGATTATTTTACCTCTTTATCATTGTCAAATAGTTTTCCTTATTCCTGAAGGTATTCTTTGCTCCAAAATCTACTTTATTGGATATTAATATAGCCAGTCCAACTTTCTTTTGATTAGTGTTAGTATCATATATCTTTTTCCATTGTTCTCCTTTTAACATTCTTACTCCTTTACATTTAAAATGGATTTATTGTAGGCAATATGCAGTTGGATCTTACATTTTTTGTCCAATGTGACAGTTTTTAACTTTTTCTGGGAATATTTAGACCATTTACCTTTAAAATATTTTTTATATGATTGGGTTTAAATCTATTAATTTCTTATCTGTCCTATTCTTTGTTCCCTTTTGCTTCTTTTTCTGTCTTCATTTGGTAATATAATACTTTTATAATGCTATTTTCTCTCTTTTATTGGCTTATTAGCTATGATTTTATTTTGTAATTTAGTGATTGCTTTAGGATTTACCATATATTAATACCTTTTTATCAACATCTACCTTAAGTGATATCATACCATTTCACATATAGTATAAGAAACTTATGATGGTATACTAACATTCTCCCCACCCCAATCATTCTATTGTTATCTTAACCTTACTTACACATGCATTATAAGCCTCACTCTAGAATGTTATTATATTTTCTTGTTTGGGGACCTTGTTTTTCAGCTTTGCTTCGTGGGAGAGAGCACTTCTCTCTAGGCAGAGTGCTCTCGTCTGTGTAGGCTACCCATTACCCTGTTGATCAGGAGTTTTCCCAGTTTCACAGACGGGAACAGGCATTATTCTCTGTGCTCTGCTGAGTGGCAGGCACAATTTAGTGCATATGTGTGAGGAAACTAACTGAGGGCAGGGAAATGAGCACCAGCAAGAATTAGGGAGGACAAGGTCTCACCACTCATATAGTGCTGTTTGGGGTGAGTATTGCTGAACTTCCTGGAACTAAGGACGCCAAGGACAAACAGAATCCCTGGGACTGAACATGGGGTGTCTCTTGGTGACAACTGTGAGGCAGTTCTTAATGGTTAATGGCACATACCTCACTGACGATGGGAGGGAAATGAATTTTTAATTTCATAACCCTTCTCCAGATCCTCTTAGAAGGGAATGTTTGCTCCACCTTTCTACTCCCCTCCTTCATTGAAAACTAAGAAACACCATGATACAAACCTAAGACCTGGAATGAGACTGAGTTATTCCCAAGGCCTGATGGAAGCACAGATGAAGGGAAACTCAGAGCACAAAGCTGATGACCCCATGATGAACTTATTACTTACAAGTTCTCCATTTTACAGCCCTGCTCTCTCTCTCTCTCTCTCCAGCCAGCTGCCTCACCTCCTCTTTCACTTCCCTCTCCAACAACACCCCTCAAGGGTTCTAAGCAATTGTTCTTGAGCAGTTAATGGCTAGTTTATGTTAAGTTTGCCTCTTAGGACTCCAAGTTCCTCTAGCCCTGCACAAGGCCTTTCTTCCTCTGTTGCAGGACTTTCTGAGCAGAGCAAGGGGAGTGAGTGGCAGGTGCTGCAGCCCGAGGGCCCCATGCTGGTGGCAGAAGGGGAAACACTCCTGCTGAGATGTACAGTAGTCGGCTCCTGCACTGATGACATGATAAAGTGGCTCAAGGTGAGCAACCAGAACCAGCAGGAAATTTACAGCTTCAAGCATGGCTTCTTCCCCGGGGTGATGCCTGTGATCCAGAAGATGCTGGTGCCGCTTAATTGCGACTATTCCATCTACATCCACAATGTCACCAGGAAACATGTTGGAACCTACCACTGTGTGAGATCTGATGGCTCAAGTGAGTACTCAGGCAAGATGCTGGATGAAGGCACCTCCGTGCTTGTGAAGGGTGAGTATCAGGCCCTGCAGGTCACAACCTTCTGCTCTGATCTATCTCCCTTTACCCGCATCATTCACCTTTACCCACAGCTTTGCAAGCTGTGACTGCAAAACCTCAGTGACATACAACAATTCATACGTCTCACTCACACGTTTACAGGCAGCTGGGCTGCATGTCTCATTCCAGGGCCCAGACTGGCCAGAGTACATATTTCTCATGGAGATAGCAGAAGCATAAGAGGGAAAGTCCCAACACCTTAAGCACATTTCAAGCTTCTACTTGTGTGTCTGCTGTTAATGAAAAACAGCCCATTGGCTAAAGGAAGTCACATGGCTAAGGACAAAGATAAGAGGCAAGGAAGTATACCCAACCACCGTGAGGCCACGGTAAGAGTTTGGGTATGGCACACTATCAGAGGAGACTCAAGAACTGGGGTTGATCATTTAATCCCCAAGTAGCCAGTCATATCATCTCTAAGTCCACCAGTGGTGACCTGGGCCTGTTATTCAATAGGAATATGTTCTTAACTTAGTCATTCCAGTTCTACATCCTTCAAGTGCCTAATTTGTGAAATAGGCAACATAATTCCTATTTCAAGGGATATTCAAGTGATGAAATAGAAGAATTGATGTTTGTGAAACCCCTGTAAAATGTTGACTTGGAGGGTATCTGTGTCTGTGTGTGTGTGTCAGGTAGGAGATGAAGGTGGAGGGTTCATTTTATCTTAATGCAAACATTTCAGAAAGCCTTCTCTGACTTCTTCCAAGCTTCTTTTGGTTCTGCAGTCCTCTGGGTTTCCAACTTCAGAAGAATTTTCTGAGCCACCTCCACCACCAGACTGAGAACTCTAGGGCACAGCATTTATGTTTTGCTGAGCTTTCTTTTCCCCACTCCTAGCATCAGCACATAGTAGGTACTGAGAACTTCTTTACTGAGTGAATCAGCTATTGAACAATGAGGGGATGTGGGAGGGAATAGCTGAGTGAAAAAAACAGGGGAAGGAAAGGGAGGAAATGAGTGGACTGTGGAGGGAGAGAGGGAACAATAAAGTCCTCTCTTTGGCTTTAGGTCCTGGGAACACAGGGCCAGACCTCTGGATCATCCAACCCCAGGAATTGGTGTTAGCAACCACTGGAGACACCGTCTTTCTGAATTGCACAGTGCTTGGAGTTGGTCCCCCAGGACCCATCAGGTGGTTTCGGGGGACTGGTCTGAGCCGGGAGGCCATCTACAACTTTAGAGGCATCTCCTACTCCAATGTGACTGCGGTCCAGGCCTCCAAGAATGATTTCAGCATTCTTCTGCATGGCATCTCCATTGAGCATGCAGGAACTTACTATTGTGTAAAGTTTCAGAGTAAACTCAACAGGCAGTACCTATCCGGACAGGGCACCAGGTTGAGAGTCAAAGGTGAGACAGGTAGCCTAGGAGGTGTTGGGGGACAGAGGGAGGTGGACCACCAGGAAATTTTTACCGTGTCACAAACAAGTTAGCTCTTCTTAGCCTCAAAGTCATTTATATAGGCTATTCCCTCTGCCTGGAATGCTTTCTCCTTTTCTACGGAGAATTTCTACTCATCCTTCAAGGACCAGCATAAATAGCCCCTCCTCTGTGAAGTCTTCTCCTTCTCCCAGGCAGAGTCGATTTCTCCCCATTCTGGGCTCCACAGAGCTTTGTATAGACTCTTAATGATTCAACAAACATGCATGTGTGCCTTTGACAGCCACACACTGGGTGCTGCAGATACAGAAATGGAGCAGACATTGTCCCTATTCCAGAGATGCTCAACCAGGTCTGACTAGTCCTTCATAGTTACTGGGCTTGACTTCTAGTCCCTATCCCAAGCAGAAACTCACAGGCTCATCTCCCCAGCTACTAACACAGGGGCTCAGGAAGTGGAGGGAGAGAAAGAAAGGAGAGTGTGAGACCACTTTTCTTCCTTGCAGCAAATCACACTTCTCTCAAAGAGTCAGAATTCACCAAGGAACGTTCAGCCAAGGTATTTCCATCAGGTGAGTATACCTACCTTCAGTGGCATTAACCAGTCCTCCACAGGTAAGTGGGGCCAGAGAGGGCTTGGCCATGGGAGACGAGCAGCCCCAGACTTCTAGGGCCCTCCTGCCCAAAGATGGTTCCCACGACTCCTTCTCAATTGCCCAAACAGAACCCAGAGAACCAGAGTAAAGTTCAATCAAAGGAAGTACTTTCCAACAGTCAGTGCGAACTGCTCAGTGGGCAGTCTTGCTGCAAGGTCTTGAGCTCCCCCTGATTCAGAGCAAGGACACACAGCGGGGCTGTGCATAACAGAGGTGGAGAGCATGGCTTTGTAGCCAGGCTCCCTGGATTGAGCCCCTTTCTAGCTCTTTGAGTCTCTGGTGAGCCTACCTCACAGGACTATGTACAGATCCAATGGGGCAAGTGCCCAGAACTGTGCCTGTCACATCACCTCAAGGGCACTTGATAATTGGGGGGTGAACTTGGAATAGAGGTGACCAAGTTAGCTTCCCAGATGCTTGGCCCTGTTCCTGCTATCTTTGGGAGCCAGACCACTTGGTCCCCTCACTACTTTGACACATGTGGCTCTGAGCAAATCAATCCCCCACTCTGGGTCTGTTTCCTCATCTATATAAATTGGATTGTTATCCTTCTTTGCAAGATTAGTTTGAGGATTATATAAAGCATTTAGGAAGTGCTTAGCTCTGGCCCTGGGACAGAGGAGTTGAGCAGCAAATGATGAAAGACATTTTCTATTCTTATCAGAGGTCAGGGATGCTGTCAAGATGATTAAGGGTACAAGTGGGATATTGGGCAAAGGCTCTTTGAGCCTGAAACAGGAGGAAGGGAGGTCTTTGATCTCTTCAGCTATAGAAGGGATATGGCCCCACAGGCTATAGGCTCAGCTTCACCATAGGGGCACTGAGTTGTGGGCTGCTGGGGACTCACCCGGGGCCCTTCTTGAGCTATCCTCTGTGTCCCTCAGGATTCCTGTCTGTCCTCACACTTGTGGTCCTGGGACTGAAAACTGCGACCTTGGCTGCACTCTTGCTGCCCCTGGTTATCTGTTGGAGAAGCTCTTGACAAGAAGACATCAGAACTCCAAGGCCCAGAAGAGGTGTGCTCGTCTTAGCATGGGTCGTGGATGACTGGTCCGCTCTAGAGTGGGTCTTCTAAGAGAGGGCCCAGGAATCCCCGATTGTTTCTCTGCCTCCCAGCTGCCTTCAAGCCTCACAATGAACTCCAGGATCCTGATTCCTGTTCACCTGGTGGAATTCTCTCTTTGGCACTTGGCCCCCCTCCGTTTGCCTTTGTCTCACTGTATTTCACTGTTTGCTGAACCCAGGGTTGACAAGGAGCGAGCTAAGAGGCTGGAAGAAGATGTGAGGAGCCGTAGGAACTGTAGACACGTTTATTCTCTCCTCTTGCGGCTGACCTAGCAGACAAAGCCCTAACGCAGCCTCACTGCCATAATGTTAGCAGCCGTACCATAGCCCCAAGGGCTTTCTCAGGTAGAGTGTATATATGCTTAGAGAACAAATGTAGCCCGTGGCCAAGAGAGTACCTCCTGACATGCATGCGCAGTGCTATGAGTGACCTCAGCTGTTAAGTAATTATTATTTACAAAATATGGGGCAAGAGTGAGAGGATGTGGGGTGAGGGAGCCTGATCCCTCCATCTTCACCAATGTGCTCTTTCCCTACAGCCTTCCTTTCTCTTCTCAGCCTGTTCAAACCCTCCTTGTCTTTTAAGGTCTTGCCCAGGTCTCTCCTTGAGACCTCTGCTCCTGTTGCAGCCCCTTTTGGAGGGCCCACCCCCTTGCTCCCCACCCCACATTTTCTCTTCCTTCAAGATCCAACTTGAGAGTCCTTCTCAGAAGGTTTCCCCAAGTGACTCTGAGCTGGCCCAGCCAGACCACCTGTGCCCCTCCATCTTTATCCTTTCTTCCTCCTTTTCTTTCTCCTTCTTCACCCTGGCTGGCTTAGGTGGCTATAATAGTTAGAATTCAGGTTTGGCAACTTTGACAAAACCCTTAAATCAGAAGAAAGTAGCTCAAATCAGAAGAAAGTTGGCTCCTCTACTAATACTTGAGCATAAACAGGCCAGGCAATTTGGTGACTCCCTGAGGCCCAGGATTCCTTGATCTTGTTGATACCAGGTTCATATCTCAAGCAGAAAGACCAGGGAAGAGGAGAATGACACTCCCCCTCAAGGTCACAGCTAGGAATTTGCCCATATCACCTCTGACTGGTTGGAATGTGGTCACTTGGTCACACCTAGCTGCAAGGAAGGCTGGAAATGTAGTCTTCGTTCTAGCAAGAGTGCACCTAGCTAAAATCTGTTACTAGAGAGCCAGAGAGTAAAGCTCAGTAGATGACCAGCGATCTCTACCCCTGTGGTGTAGAGAGAGCTTCTTACTTGCTGTGTGGCACACCTGAGTTCCATTCCCAGGTAAAATGCACCCCTTGTACCTTTGCCTCCATTAGGGCAGCATAGTGGAGGGTAGTAGTTCTAAAGAAAAGGACACTCTGCTGCCCAGGGGATATGCAGCGATGTCTAGAGACATTTTTGATTGTCATAACTTGGGGGAGACTGTTGTCCTCTAATGAGTATAGGTCAAGGATGCTGCTTTTAGCACAGGGCAGACCCCATAGCCAAGAGTTATGTGGCCCAAAGTATCAGTAGAAGTTGAGAAGCCCTGATATAGTGTAAAGCATGCATTCCCTGGAGTCAGACATGCCCGATTTCTAATCCTGAAGCCCCCACTCCCTCCTTGTGCACCACTGGTAACTAATCAGTCATTGCCACTCTTGGAACATGGAGGAAAATAACGCAGACTTCTGCATTGTACAAGAAACATTCAACTCAGGGCTCACTATGAGCTGTGTGTTCTGCATACTCTCAGTACGTGTGAACTCCGTTTTCTCTTTCAACACAAACATTTACGGGCACCTAGGGGCTTTCCCGGTGGCTCAGAGGGTAAAGCGTCTGCCTACAATGCGGGAGACCTGGGTTCGATCCCTGGGTCGGGAAGATCCCCTGGAGAAGGAAATGGCAACCCACTCCAGTATTCTTGCCTGGAAAATCCCATGGACAGAGAAGCCTGGTAGGCTACAGTCCATGGGGTCGCAAAGAGTCGGACATGACTGAGCGACTTCACTTTCATTATATCAGGAAATGGATTAGTCTGCATGTTTTTCATTATAACAAACAGAAAAGTTGGTGGAACAACACTAAGCCAACACTAATTTAGCCTGAGTGTTTTGTGCCAGTTTCAGCATACGGATAACCAGTGCTATAGCTGGATCAGCTCTTGTAGTTCTTATTATGAGCGCAAGATGCCCTTCAGCAATACCCACCAGGGGACTTTGAAGAACTAGAGGTTTATTACTTTACAAGACCTGGAAATTACACAGAATTCCTAGGGCCACACTGTGAGGTCACAAGGGAAAAACAGAGAGGGAATACCTGGGGTTCTGTTTTATTGGGGTTGATGAATTTGTGGGCTCACTCTTTATTGGTAAATATAAAAATTAAGAGCAGGAATTTAAAGCTCAGGAAGAAGAAAAGAAATAGTAGCTCAAATGATCAGTTATTGAAATCAACCAAGATCTCTAAAACAAAGGAAACTCAGTGGGGGAAGATGGCCTGACTATTTAGCCCTGTGACTGGCAGTGTGTTCAGAAATAAGCACATTGAAGGGGATGCCTCTTTGGAATGGATGCCTCAGCAATCAAAACTTAAATCAGATAATAGCATTACAAAAAAAAAAAAGAGGAAAAAGAAAAACTGTCAAGGTTTACACTGCACTGAGAACTGAATAATTATTGAATTACCAGACATCAGAAGAAAGGGTAGATATAATAAATTAAATAATATCTTCCTACAAAAGATATCCAAGTCTGAATCCCTGGAACCTGTGAATGTTACCTTATGTGACAAAAAGGACTTTGCAGATGTGATTGTGTGTATGTGTCCCATCTCTAAATGGAGCGGTTGTCCTGAATTATCCAAAGTGAAGGTGTTAGTCTCTCAGTCATGTCCTACTCTTTGCAACCCAGTGAACTGCAGCTAGTAGCCTGCCAGGCTCCTCTGTCCATGGAATTCTCCAGGCAAGATATACTGAAGTGGATAGCCATTCCCTTCTCCAGGGGATCTTCCTGACCCAGGAATTGAACCCAGGTCTCCTGCATTGCCGGTAGCTTCTTTATCATCTGGGTCACAGGGAAGCCCTTTATTATCCAGGTGGGCCCTAAATGCAATCACAAGTGTCTTGATGAGGGAGAGGCAGAGGGAGAATCCACACAGAACAGGAATATTCAGAACAGGAGGAGAAAGCAATGAGACCACAAAGGCAGAATGGAAGTGTAAAAAATGCTGGCAGCCACAAGCAGCTGGAAGACACAAGGAGAAGATTCTAACCAGTGTCTCTGGAGGGAGCACAGCCCCCTGACACCTTGACTTCAGCCCAGTGATACTTCAGACTTCTGAGCTCCAGAAGTAGGAGAGAATAAATTTCTGTTGTTTTAATGCCATGAAATTTGTGGTAATGTGTTAAAGCAGCCACAGGAAGCTATTAATAGGGTGGAACTGGGCCTCTGAAATAACTGGGTGGAGTTCCCTTCTCTGCCCCTGAAAACCTCTTCACCTGTGCTGACTTAAAAAAAAAAAAGCACAATATGAGAGTCGTGAGCTAAGTTTTCTTTGGGGCAAAATGAGGGCTATCACCTGAGAGAGAGGATTTCAGATAGTTCTGAGAAACCACTCTAAAGAAGTAGGGGAAGGTCAGCATATATGTGATTTTGGCCAAGGGGGAGTAATGCAATCAAGCACATGTTTTTAGCAGAAGGTTTCTGTTAGTCTCACGAAAGTTACTACTAGTCACAAGAAGCAGACATGATCATGAGGATTTTAGTGTTTTTCTAGATATGAGGAGACTTGAGAACTGGCCTCACAAAATCAGCTCCTGAAAATAATGTCTGAAAACCTGTTCTGCCAGTTTTTCCCGGAGCACAGAGCGCCTCATTTCTGCTCTCCACTCTGAACAGCTCCTCTCAGCAGGGGTTGAAAAGCAGCAGCCGCAGCAGCACGTGACTTAATCCTTGTAGAGACACAGGGCAAGTGCCCATGGCAAGGGCCAATTTGTAGTTGACACCAGACAGGGTCCTGCGTGGTCTGGTCCCTGAAAGCACCGCCCCCACCCCCCGTCTTATCCCCCACTTCCAACACCCTTTAAATTGACTCCCTGTCACCCACCTGGGCCTTGGCTACACACGTTCCCTAAATTCAGGCAAGTCCGCTTAGTTGTTTCTTCAAGAGGCCTCCGTATATCAGCTCATCCACAACAGCATTGTCTTCCTTCTCATTTCCCATTTGCAGCGTAAGTTTCCTTCACAACACTTACTGCTACACATAAACGTGAGTGTGTGTGTGTATTCATTTCCTTGATGATTATTAGCTGTTTACTAGTGAATTTGAGTGGGCTTCCCAAGTGGCTCAGTAATGAAGACTCCGCCTGCAGGAGACATAAGAGATGCAGTTTTGATCCCAGGGTGAGGGAGATCTCCTGGAGGAGAGCATGACAACTCACCCCAATATTCTTGCCTAGAAAATCCCATGAACAGAGGAGCCTGGCAAGGCTACAGTCCATGGGGTCACAAAGAGTCGGACATGACTGAACCACTGAGCACTCATACAGTGTATTTGAGTTCACCAAGGTCGGGAACCTAACTTTTCACTATTGTAGCCTCTTTCATTCATTCATAAAAAGTAGTTGAAGGCTGATAATGTGCCAGGCAGGTGGTCGAAGGCAGAATCAGATTGGGACTGGGATGAAGTCAGGATGGGGAACCAAAGTGGAGATGAAACTGGAGGGGAAGCTGGGGGTGAGGGGGAAGTGGGCTTTGGAGGGTAGGGGTACATGTGGTACTGGGAGTGGGGGTAGGGGACAAAAGGGTGGGGCTGGGTGGGTCAGGAGCTGGTGGTGGTGGATCTTCAAGGTAGGGATGAGTCTGGAGGTGGTAGTCATGGTGGGACTTGGGGATAGGGGCAGAGCAGGGGAAGGAGGGTGGGGGAAGGGCCTGGAAGTTGGAAGGGGGCAAGGCCTTCAGCACCACCCCTACTAGGTCTTGTTAAGTATATTTAGATAAATGTTATAAAGATGTATCAATTGTTTCAACTTCACACCCTAATGAGCCCTTCTAATCAAATTCTGATTCTAAACACCTTCAGTCAGATTGCTGGAACTGCCTCCAGAAACTAGCCATGGAAGCACAGTCCTACTGGCCAAATAGATAAAGGGTGGTATAGTGGTTAGGAGCACAGCATCTGAGATGCCTGGGTTCAAACTTACTTAGGAATCTGCATTCCTGGTCTTGAAGTCCTAAGACATAACTCTCAGCTCTTAGGGTGTGCTTTTGTTTTCAGTCAACAATACAGGCAAACAGCTGTTTCATTTTGCCTTGTACTGTTCTTGTACCTGAGTATTGAAATACAGATCATTTTATTCCAATCACTATCTTTTTTCCCCCCTTCAATTAGGGCATGATGTTGGTTTTGTCAATGCATAGAAGTAAATTTTATTATCTCTCAATTTCATTTAAGGCATAAAGGGGTGATACAAAATGTTTGTTATGAAAGTGGATCTGAGAAGGCTGTGAACACTTGCTGGCCCACTTTTCCACCACCCACTTTGCTTGAATGTAGGCCCTGAGGCCCAGAGAGGGCAAGAGATCTGCTCTTATCACCCAGCTTGTTCAGAGCCCAGCCTGAGGCAGGAGATATATGGGCTCCAGGATAGACATTTACAACTAGCCTCCTCTTTATATTTCTTGAGGCAAGAAATAGATGGGCTCCAGGTTAGACATTTATAACCAGCCTCCTGTTTATACTTACATATAGAAATAAACAACAGGAACAGGGTAAAGAGCTATACTTTGGTCTCTGGTGGACACTTAAAATGACAGTAATGGGAGGGGTAGAAATGAGCTGAGTCTTACCCAGATAAAGGATAAACAGAGCACATACTTTTCATTCTTGAGATCAAGGATGCCTCCCCGACTACAAGTATGCAGAAAGACTTCCTAGGGGTCCAAAAGGGAGACGGCGCCATCCCCAGAATAGCTGGTGTCAACTTTCCCATAGGCCTCTGTGCTGGAATCCGTCTTGACAAAAAGATGTGCATACATGTGAGAGAGGGACCTAGGACAGATCAGATGTAGAAAAAGGAGGGCGGTAACTGGCCAGGTAAACAAAGACCAGAAGATCTGCCCTGTATAAATGATGCAACCACCTCTTTACTGCCCTTCTCCTCATCAGGTGGGAACCAGCTCCTTTTTCTCCAGGTGGGTGTCTCTGCCTTGTTTCTGTCTCAAATAAACGAACTGTAACAGGAGGGAAAGGGGCAGGGCACAACTTTTGAAAGAATGGCATAGCCCAAAGACACAACATAAAACCAATTAGAATCAAATGGGACCAAGATGGCAGACAAGACCAGACCTTGATCCTCAATCAGCAAGTGCAATGACACACCCAGAAGTGCCAGGATAGTTCCAAGGCACTGTTAAAAGACGAAGAAGTGGGCGATGGCCCAAATCCTGGAAATCTCCACTCCTTCTCAAATCCTCCCACTCATTAGCATAGGAAATCACCCAGCCTATAAAAACTAACCACACCACATTTCATGGCCGCACTTGCCCTCTGTGATGGCCCACACTCTGTGCTTCTCTCTGAATCTGAACAAATCCACTTCTTAACTATCACTTGTCTTGTGCAGAATTCTTTCTGTGATGAGACACCAAAAACCTGAGCTTCATTAGGTCCTGAAACCAGGTACTGTGGGTTACAGCTGGGTTTGAGTCCCAGACATGTGGGTTCGAGTCCCAAGCAGGGTTTCAGCTGGATTCAAGTCCCAGGCAGGGTTTTGGCTGTGTTTGAGTCCCAGGACATGGGTTCAAGCCCCAAGCTGAGGTAAACTTCAAAACCATTTCTTTGTGGTCTCTCCCACTGTGCCACATCTCCAATAATAAACCTTGTGCCTGCTTTGACAGTTTTTGCCTCCTTTAGAAATTCATTTTTCAAACAAGGCAAGAACCAGGGCAACTTTGCTTCCAGCCTCTAGCCCTTAGTGGTCTAGCTGCTAGGATTTCTGATTTTCATCCAGGCTACTCAGGTCCAATTTTTGGGCAGGGAACTAAGATCTCACTTTAAGCTACTGCTCACTGGTGTCTCTTCAAGACCAAGGCCACAACCACGATGAACAGTCGCTCTCCAGCCCCACACCTCCAGAATGTATGTTTGTGGGTCTCAAGGTTGCCACTTCTCATAGCCACAAGGCATCTGTTTTATGGAAAATGAAAAGTTTTCTTTATTGAAATTAGGTTATATCCCACATTCTGCTCAACCCTCCTCGGGAGGCTGGTATGTGCCCTGCATCCTTGTTCTCAGATTTTCATCCCTGCATTTCTCACCTGGATATGCAGACGCTTGAGGTTTCATTTATTCACTCCTTCATTAATTCAGCAGAGTCAGTAAGCAGCTGTGTAATGCCAGTGACTGCATGTCACAGGAGATAAAACGAGAGCTAACATTTTCTGAGGACTCACTAAGCATCAGGCTTTCCTTGTGGCTCAGCTGGTAAAGAATCCGCCTGCACTATGGGAGACCTGGGTTTGATCCCTGGGTTGGGAAGATCCCCTGGAGAAGGGAAAGGCTACCCACTCCAGTATTCTGGCCTGGAGAATTCCATGGACTGTATAGTCCATGGGGTCGCAAGGGTCAGACAGGACTGAGCAACTTTCTCTTTCACTTAAGCATCAAACATTGCTCTCAGCAGTTCACAATGAATCCTCATACCTCTCTGAGGTAGGAACCATGAGGAGTTTGACTTTACACATCAGGAAACTGAAACTTAGAGAGACAATCTGCCCAAGATTACACAAGCAGTAACACGTGTGTTCTAAAGCCATACTGTGTTGGAAACAGTCACAGCCCCTGCTGTTAACGAGGATTGTGGCCCTTGGGGAAGACAGACACTTAACATGGTGCCAGAGGACATTCACTGGCAACTGTCTGATGGAGCCTAGGAACGTAGAAAGGTATCCTTGAGGAGGGGCTACCTAAGCTGAAATTAGAAGGATGAACAAGAGCAGACCAGTGGATGGCTCCTGTGTGCTGAGCTGCTTCAGTCATGTCCGACTCTTTGCAACTGTATGGACTGTAGCCTGCCAGGCTCCTCTGTCCATAGGATTCTCCAAGCGAGAGTACTGGAGTGGGTTGCCATTTCCTCCTCCAGGGGATCCTCCCAGGGATCGAACCTGTTTCTCATGTCTCCTGCATTGGCAGGTAGGTTCTTTACCACTAATGCCACCTGGGAAGCCCAGTGGATGGCTCAGTGGTAAAGAATCCGCCTGCCAATGCAGGAGACACGGGTTCAATCCCTGGTCCAGGAAAATCCCACATGATCTGGAGCAACTAAGACCCTGAACCACAACTACTGAGCCTGTGCTCTAGAGTCGGGGAATTGCAACTAATGAGCCCATGTGCCTCAAGAACTGAAGCCCGTGCACCCCAGAGCCTGCGCTCTGCAACAAAAGCCACCACGATGAGAAGCTTGTGCTCCGCAACCAGAGAGTAGCCCCTGCTCCCAAAACTAGAGAAAAGCCCACGCAGTGACGAAGACCCAGCACAGCCTAAATAAATAAGTAAAAGAGTGACCAGGGGAGGAGGAGGAGAAGAGCATCACAGGGAGTGTGGCAAGAGGAAAGAGGGCAAAGAAGCTGAGGACCTCTGTGACAGGACTGTATCTGAGAAGGTGCCCTTGGAGCAGAGGCGGAAGAAAGCGAGGGAGCCACAAGGGAAGGGTGTTCCAGGCAAAGGGAGCATAAAGGCTCTGATGCAAATACCTGTCTGGCACCTTCAAGGAATGAGAAGAAAGGCAGTGCCCAAGGCAGAGGAAGCTGCTGAGAAGCCTAGGAGATGAGATAGAGAGCTAGCTGGTGCACCTCACAGGGGTCTTCCAGGCCCTCAGCCTTTTTATTTTAACACAGATTGAGATGGGGAGCCACGGAAGGGTTAGGGGAGACAGTGCCTTGTTCAAGGCTCTCACAACGTGAACAACAAGAGTGATATTCGTTCAGTCGTGTCCAACTCTTTGTGACCCCATGGACTGTAGGCTGCCAGACTCCTCTGTCCATGGAATTCTCCAGGGAAGAATACTGGAGTGGGTAAGCCATTCCCTTCTCCAGAACAAGAAGGCGGGGACTTTGTTTTGCTCCCTGCTAATGCCCAGCCCTGAAAGAACACCAAGAGGTGACAAGAATACACAGAAGAACTATACAAAAAAGATCTTCATGACCCAGATAACCAAAATGGTGTGATCACTCACCTAGAGCCAGACATCCTGGAATGCAAAGTCAAGTGGGCCTTAGGAAGCATTACTATGAACAAAGCTAGTGGAGGCGATGGAATTCCAGTGAGCTATTCCAAATCTGAAAAGATGATGCTGTGAAAGTGCTGCACTCAAAATGCCAACATTTGGAAAACTCAGCAGTGGCCACAGGACTAGAAAAAGTCAGTTTTCATTACAATCCCAAGGAAAGGCAATACCAAAGAATGTTCAAACTATTGCACAATTGCACTCATCTCACACACTAGAAAAGTAATGCTCAAAATTCTCCAAGCCAGGCTTCAACAGTATATGAACCATGAACTTCCAGATGTTCAAGCTGGATTTAGAAAAGGCAGAGGAACCAGAGATCAAGTTGCCAACATCCACTGGATCATCAAAAAAAAGCAAGAGAGTTCCAGAAAAAATCTATTTCTGCTTTATTGACAATGCCAAAGTCTGACTATGTGGATCACAACAAGCTGTGGAAATTCCTTAAAGAGATGGGAATACCAGACCACCTGACCTGCCTCCTGAGAAATCTGTATGCAGGTCAAGAAGCAACAATTAGAACTGGACATGGAACAACAGACTGGCTCCAAATCTGGAAAGGAGTACGTCGTGGCTGTATATTTAACTTATATTTACCCTGCTTATTTAACTTCTATGCAGAGTACATCATGAGAAATGCTGGGCTGGATGAAGCACAAGCTGGAATCAAGATGTCCAGGAGAAATATCAATAACCTCAGATACATGGATGACACCACCCTTATGGCAGAGAGTGAAGAACTAAAGAGCCTCTTGATGAAAGTGAAAGAGGAGAGTGAAAAAGTTGGTTTAATACTCAACATTCAACCCAGCAATCCCGCTTCTGGGCATACACACCGAGGAAACCAGATCTGAAAGAGACACGTACACCCCAAAGTTCATCACAGCACTGTTTATAATAGCCAGGACATGGAAGCAACCTAGATGTCCATCAGCAGACGAATGGACAAGGAAGCTGTGGTACATATACACCATGGAATATTACTCAGCCATTAAAAAGAATTCATTTGAATCAGTTCTAATGAGATGGATGAAACTGGAGCCCATTATACAGAGTGAAGTAAGCCAGAAAGATAAAGACCAATATAGTATACTAACACATATATATGGAATTTAGAAAGATGGTAATGATAACCCTATATGCAAAACAGAAAAAGAGACACAGATGTACAGAACAGACTTTTGGACTCTGTGAGAGAAGGCGAGGGTGGGATGTTTCGAGAGAACAGCATCGAAACATGTATATTATCATCGAAACATGTAGATCACCAGCCCAGGTTGGATGCATGAGACAAGTGCTGGGGGCTGGTGCACTGGGAAGACCCAGAGGGATTGGGTGGAAAGGGAGGTGGGAAGGGGGATCGGGATGGGGAATACATGTAAATCCATGGCTGATTCATGTCAATGTATGGCAAAAACTATTACAATATTGTAAAGTAATTAGCCTCCAACTAATAAAAAATGGAAAAAAAAAAAAAAGACTCGACATTTAGAAAACTAAGATCATGGCATCCAGTCCCATCACTCCATGGCAAATAGATGGAGAAACAAGGGAAACAGTGACAGACTTTATTCTTTTGGGCTCCATAATCACTGCAGATGGTGACTGCAGCCATGAAATTAAAAGATGCTTGTTCCTTGGAAGAAAAGCTATGATCAACCTAGATAGCTTATTAAAAAGCAGACACATTACTCTACCAACAAAGGTCCTTCTAGTCAAAGCTATGTTTTTTCCTGTGGTCATGTATGGATGTGAGCGTTGAACTATAAAGAAAGCTGAGCACTGAAGAACTGATGCTTTTGAATTGTGGTGCTGGAGAAGATTCTCGAGAGTACTTGGGCTGCAAGGAGAACAAACCAGTCCATCCTAAAGGAAATCAGTCCTGAATACTCACTGGAAGGACTGATGCTGAAGCTGAAACTCCAATCCTTTGGCCACCTGAGGTGAAGAACCCACTCATGGAAAAGACCCTGATGCTGGGAAAGATTGAAGGCAGGAGGAGAAGAGCACGACAGAGGATGAGATGGTTGGATGGCGTCACCGATGGGATGGACATGAGCTTGAGTTGGCTCCGGGAGTTGGTGATGGACAGGGAAGCCTGGCGTGCTGCAGTCCATGAGGTCGCAAAGAGTCGGACACGACTGAGCGACTGAACTGAACTGAAATAGCACCAGGCCCTTGGTTCCACTCAGTTGAACAAGTGAGTGAACGAAAGAATAAATTAATGAAATGAGGAAACGACTCAATGAATAATGTGAAACAGAATCCTTTGGGGATCTTTCATTCCACAGGTACTCAGTGGTGGACTCTCCCCGCCTCTCATCCTCCCCGCGCTCCCTCCCCCGCCGTTAGACTGAGGGTCCGGGCTGCGGCCGCCAGAGGGCGCAGAGCGGCGGCGTTTCCCGCACGGAAGGTTTTGCGTGAGGCACTGTGTGGGGCGGGGCCTGCGAGGGGGCGCCACTCGGCTGGACCCGGTCAACCCGAGTGCGGAACGCCGCGGCCGGGCTGAGGCTGTGCAGTGAGACCCGGGGCAGTTTGGGCGGCGCACCGGGCGAAGATGGCGTCGGAGCGGCAGGACGCTCTGAGGGAGTTCGTGGCGGTGACGGGCGCAGAGGAGGATAGGGCCCGCTTCTTCCTGGAGTCGGCCGGCTGGGACCTGCAGGTAGCGCTGGGAGGTGGGCCGCGTCGGGCAGGCAGGGTACTATGGGGAGCAGACACCTGGTGCCTCAAGCCCGCGGCGGCCGAAGCGCACAGTCATCCCGCCGGGCTGCGGCCCGACCCAGGCCTCAGGGTCCTGGGGCCGCTTGCCACGCGTGCCAGCTCGTCCTGGGCGAGGGGAGACGCAGGCCAGCCCAGGCCCGGACTGACCTGGTCTACCGGGCCTCGGTTTCCCCTTCTGCCTAGTTCTCGGGGAGGCCAGATTTTGGGCACTGCCGCAACCCGCGTGGAGACGGGGACCCTGGGGGCGTGGCTGCCGCGCAGTCTCGGCTGCAGCCCGGGCCGGACTGACCAGCTCCCGGGTGGAGCCGCGCGGCGGAGGGGAAGAGGTGCTCGTTCATTTCCTTGTCCTCAGCCCCAGTCACACGCCCCCTCGTACCTAAATGCTGGGAGAAACTGGGTTGTGGCGCAAAGTTGGGTCCTAGTCATCTTTATTGAGTAACTTCTGTGTAAAATGGGAGTCTTTATGGAGCTTGTCGTGTAGTTCACTGGCAGGTATTAGATATACATAAAATACTTACTGACTGAGAAGAGATTAAGATAAACTACACCAGGCAAGGATTTTGGTAAACTGTTGAATCCTCTGTGTCTTGAGCAACGCCTGACAGGTAATAGGCACTCACTCAGTGATTAATTGTAGAAAGAATTGCATACATGTTTTTGGCCAACCTACGTCCTCGATGGATGACGATGATTAATATTTATTGAGTGCCTACCATGAGCTTTATGTATCTTAAGTTATTTAAGCATAGCATTCTGAAGCTGAGGTTTCGGGAAGTTAAGTAATTTGCTGAAGGCCTCACTAGCTACCAGGTGAAAGAAATGGCATTAGAACTCAGTTCTGTCTGATACCAAAGCCCAAGCTCTATTAAGCTCTGCCACCATGTGCCCTAGCACTTTACGAACATGATTGGGTTTATCCTTGCCACACTGTGAAGAAAACGTCCTCATTTTCATGAATTGGAAGTGCAGAAGGCAAGTGATAGGCCCAAGGTCACACACCCAGGGATTAGGATGTGAACTGAGTCTGCTGACTTCACCATTTACGTGCTTCGTGAAAGTATAAATTTAGGTAAAGCGTCACAACTGTATAGACATATGGTGTAAAGCCCCTGTGCTGGGTGAAAATGCAAAGTGCAGCTTCTACCTGAAAGACCTAGAATCTCCCAGTGTTACATTTGGCAGGTCATCAGTCTCAGGCTCCTCATGCTGTTAGTGCGGAAACACGCTCAGTGTGTGATGTGACTTGTCCATGATTTGGACGTAGACCCCCTCGATGCCAGTTCAGTGCATGTCCTGTCACAGCACAGAGCATCCTGGCTGGCTTGCTAAAGTGTGTCCTGTAAAGGCACGCTGCTTCCAACAGGCTGGTTGTGTCCCACAGCAGCTCCCTGTCTCCTGCAGTGTGGTGACCTTGAGGACAGGAGCCTTGTCTTGTCATCTCTGTAGACCTCATTGCACTCTTACTTCATTGTGCGGAGTAAGTGTCGGTCGATCAGGCCTGTCCGACTCTGCGACTCCATGGACTGTAGCCGATAACCCGCCAGGCTCCTCAGTCCGTGGGATTCTCCAGGCAAGAATACTGGAGTGGATAGCCATTCCCTTCTCCAAGGGATCTTCCCTACCCAGGGATTGAACCCGGGTCTCCTGCAATGCAGGCAGATTCTTTATTGTCTGATCCACCAGGGAAGCAGTGATTAGTAAATACCTATGCATTGAGTCCATGCAAGAAACATCCAATCACAAATGGCTAAAAGAGGTCCATATTCCTTCTGTATGTATAGAGCTAAGACATGACTGTGCATAAATGTTAATGGATCCTCTCATCCATTTTGCAAGGTTGGTGAAATGGGTGTCCCCATTGCACAAACCAGGAAATAGCCTCAAAGAAAAAGTAAGAGTAGTCATCTGTAGTGACCTCACAGTTTCCAATTCCTGGCTGTCACCTGAGAGCTGAGAGCAGGGGCCTGAACAGACTGCCTGGGATCAATCCTGGCTCCACTCTTTACCAACTGTGTAACCTCAGACAGTTTTCTTCTCAGCACTTCTCTGTCAGCTATAAAATGAGATGATGATAGCACTAACTCCATAGGGTTCTTTAAGGATTAAATAAGTTAGCACACATAAAGTTCCACTCAGAACAACATGGCACATAAATGAGTGTTCATTAAATGTACAGTGCTTTTACTAGATCACATTTCCTCATAAAATGACATTGAGGAATGTCTCCATCCCAACTTTCCTTTTTGCCTTCTTTTTCCTTTAGTAGGTGGAATTTGTTTCAGGCGATATGAAAACAAATAGTTGGGCCACTAATCTTTTGGTCTTATTTTCTATGGTCTACCAAATACAGACTGCTTTATAATCGTTGGGCATATTTTTGTGTCTTTGCTCCTTTGTGTTCAAAGGAGATGTGTTAGATGAAGGCCTGTTTAAGTATCCCAAGTTACTGCCTCTCTGTTTCAGATCGCCCTAGCAAGCTTTTATGAGGATGGAGGGGACGAAGACATTGTGACCATTTCGCAGGCAACCCCCAGTTCAGTATCCAGAGGCACAGCCCCCAGGTAAGGGCCAACTTGAGTTATTGCCTCATTGGTGTGCTTCCAGCAGTGGTGAACTATTTCCTGACTTGACAGAGGGGTCAGGCCTAGGGACGTGGACCGGTGGGTTTGAGGGAGAAAGAATGACTGGTGGGTAGTAGTTTCTTGCAAGACTTATTCCTTTTGTGTGGAGATGTGGGATTCTTAACTGAGTGTGCTTTATGATCCAATCCTGGAGGAAACCACAAAACCAACTTTTAAAATGTTTGGGGGGGGTGGTCTCATATATGAAATGTGAGGAGCGGCTTCTCCATCTCTGAAAGTAAGTTGAAACTGAGGTGCTTCCTTTCAGGGATGCTGTAGATGTAAAAGATTAGGCCAGATGATTTTAAAAAGGCTATTTAAATATTTTAGGATGCCCATTACCCTATTAAAAAGACTTAGAAAAACTAAACCTGTTAACGCACTTTGGCAAATTGATTAGGGATACCGTGTCTTTTTTTGTGAAACAGTGTTAACCTTTGCAATCTCATTTGCATCCCCTGTCCTCACCACCCTGACTCCAACATTCTTAGAGCAGATTGCTACTGTGATCTGCAGACTGCAATAATTATTGCCAGATTTCGTGAGACAGGCAGGGCCTCTTCCTTTAAAAGTGTGTGAACCACATCTCCCTTCTCTGCTGAAGCCTTTTCTACTCTGGTGTATGTCCTCAGTTAGTTTGAGTTTGTATTCAACCCCAGAACACATATATAGGGTTTCTTTGCTGGTGTAAGGTGATAAATTGTGTTTCTCTCTGAGAACATCTGAGATTTAAATTAACATTTCCCCTCTTTCAAGAAGGAACACTAACCCCAGCTGTCATTGTTTCCTTAACTTCTTCGCCTCCTTCATTTCCAGAGGAAAGAGGTAATAGGCAGGACATCTTTCAGTTGTTCATCGATGCTAACCTGTGAGGTGTCGTTGATGACACATCAGGATGTTACTGCCTGGGACCTGGTTGGTAGGGTAAGGGCTCTTCTGTAGCTGCTCATAGAGACAGCTAATTTCCTGCAGTGTGTCTTTCACAGGCACACCAGATTAGTTGGGTATTGGCACAGAAGTAGAGAGGAGGAGAAATTGAAACCTAGCTTGTGATGTTAGTCACATGTTCATTCCTGTCTTCTCTGGTGGACCCAAAGTCTAATCCAGACAGTGGTTTATTAGAGCCTGGGCTTGGAGCCTGACCACCCACCTTCATATTAGAGCCTAGGCTAGAGCCTGACCACCCACCTTCAAATCCCAGCTCTGTCACTTGAGAGCTTTGTGACCTTGAGCAGGTTACTTAACATTGCCAGTCCCTCAGCTTTCATCACTTGTCAAATGGGAAGGATAGTGCCTACCACATGGGCAGTACCCTGTACCGTTAATTGAATGAGTTAATACAACATGGAACATGTTAACTGCTATCACTATCATTTTAGTATTACCATTTTTAGCATCCATTCTCGTCTTCCCCATTCTTTTATTTGTTCCATGTCTCATTCCACATGTTCATATGTTAAGAAGAATTAAAGATTAAAAAAGAAAAGAAGAAGAGTTAAAGAAACAAGGAAATAGAGTTTATCATTAAGACCAAGAGAAGTAAAAAACTTGCATACATGTGCCATTCTAAAGTTCTTACTTTTTATTTGCTTTGGTTAAGCCTCAGACTTGGTACTGGGCTTAAGCGAAACCAAGGAAAAGGGAGAGGGAAGGCACCATGTGTTACATCATTGTCCTTGTCCAGATGGTAAACGCTAACTGCATTCTCAGGAGAAGGCAGGCACGTGTTAGCACCCAAGAGGAACTCTGTATGGGGCCTGCCTTTCCCCTGTTTGACCTGACAGTTGCAGGACACAGCCTGCTGCTGAGCTCTCCCCGCCCCCCACTGTCATCTTCTCATGCTCTTTCACATTGTCACTGCCTCTGTGCACAGCACTCAGTTAGTAAGCTCCTGATGTGGAGGCTAACCCCCTAGGAGGGATCTATGGAATGAATGTCAGAAGGTCCATAAATTACCTGAAATTGTATGTAGTAACTTGTATATATGTTGTATCTTTTCAGGCAAAAATATTCGTAGTTTTTTATCAGATACTCAAAAGAGCTGTGGGACATAAAAAAGTTAACCATAGCTATAGGAGAAAGTCTGAACTCCTCAATAATAACAGCTATCATTTATTGAGCACTTAGCAGCTGCCAGGCACTGGGTTAAGCTTTTACATCTTCATCTTTTTAATGCTTTACTACAACCCTATGAGGTGGCTACTGTTATTTTTCCCATTCACAGATGAAAACACTGAAGGTGGGCTTCTTCCCAAGATCACACAGTTAGTCAAACAACTGTGTGATTTAAAAGCAGATCTGTTTCTGCTTCCAGCATTCAGCTCTCAGCCAGAATGATGTACTACCTCTCCCTATGGACATTCAGCATCCTCAGGAGTTTACAGTGAACCTGCCATCCTCATCTTATCCCCCTTTTCCTCCTTTCTTAAATCTTTATTTCAACCAAACTGATTTGTTTGGTGTCTCAGTTCTGCCTAAATTTTTGGCTCTTCTGCTTTTGTTTGAGCCTCTCATCTGACTCGACATGCCTAGTCTCTTGCTTCCTTTCCACCTGTGCAAATCCTTTGTGTCCTTCCATGTTTAGCTCCCTCCCCACCTTCTCTACTAAGTATGTAATCCCCAAACCCAGAGGCAGCACAGACTCCATTCACAGCCCATATCTGCATACTACTCAATGACATCTCTCCTGTGTTGTCTTGAATTCTTCTGACGATTACCGGAATATTTTTCTCCCTGAGTAAATTGTAAGTTCCTAGAGGTGGAAGGGCTAGTATTTCAGAAGCACCCACCATCTGTCTGGCTCTGCCAGATACTGTTTCATACATTATCTTCTTACACCTCAGTAACCACCATTTAAGTAGGTAGGGTGCTCACCATTTCACATGTCTGGATGCTGAGTCTTAGTATGAGTAAAACACATTTGCGCTTATGGTGAATTCAAACCCAAAGTCTAAATCCAAAACTGCTGCTCCTGCTAACTACGTTCCTGTCCAATATCTCCCACCCCTGTACCTAGCACAGGGTTGAGTAAGAGGGAAGCTGTTATTTCTTCCTTTTTCTTCTTTTTTCATTGTACAAAACTGTACTTTCATAAATGCTAGGGACCACCGTTGTCTGATTCTCTAAAACTATATTGTCTAATATGGTAGCCTCTAGCCTCAGGTAGCTGTTTAAATTAATTAAAATTAAATAAAACAAACATTCAGCTATTCATGCTCAATTGCCGAATTTTAAATGGCTCAATAGCCCCATGTGACTAGTGGCTTCCATATTGGACAGTGCAGATACAGCATTTCTGTCACTGCAGAAAATGTTATCTAACAGAGCACCTTTGTGCCACTTCACAGTGCCTGGGAGATAGAGTTCTGATCCTGAAAAGTTGAAATTTCTGAGACAGTTTGCCAATTTGTGGAAGATACAAGACCCAGTATTCTTAAATTGGTGATGTCCCCAGGACATCTGTACTGTTAAGGTAACTCTCAGAGCATTAGTCCAGAACAGTGGTCTTCAGACTTGAGCATGTATCAGAATTACTTGGAGGACTCCTAAAACCAGATTACTAGATACTTCTGTTAGGGTTTCTGATTAAGGAGGTCTAGGGTAAGGGTGAAGGATTTGCATCTTTCTGAATTTCGAGGGTAAATGCTGATACTCCTAGTTCAAGGCCCAACACTTTGATAACTGCTGCTCAAGAGTAGAACTTGAAATGTGCTACACTGTCCGTCAGCACCCCAGCTGTTCACAGCAAGCCCATGAGGTTGGTGCTGATTGTTTCCATTTTCACATGAGAAAATGAAGACTTAAGAGAATTTCAGTAGCATGCCCAAGATCCCAGGTTTGGAAGCTAAGTTCAGGTTGAAACCAGGTATATGGATACCAGAGTCTGTGTTAGATGCCATCAAAGTTATGTGTAGGAGACCTAGACCCAGAGCAAGTGGTTTGCTCAAGCTGGTGGTAGTGGTGTTCAGTCGCCAAGTCGTGTCCCAACTCTTTGTGACCCCATGGACTGCAGCACACCCCTGTCCCTCACCATCTCCCACAGTTTGCCCAAGTTCATGTCCGTTGAATCAATGATGCCATCCAACCATCTTATCCTCTCTTGCCCTCTTCTCCTTCTATCTTCAGTCTTAACCAGCATCAGGGTCTTTTCCCTGTACACATGTACACATGTGTATTTGAAGGTGTTTAACAATGGAGAGATAGAGAATATTTTTTTTTCCATAGATGATAAGCTGAGCATCTGTAGAAAAATCCATTGGGGAGTGTAATGAGTGGAATTAGCTTTCCCAGGTGGCTCAGTGGTAAAGAATCCACCTGCCAATGCAGGAGACATGGGTTCCATCCCTCGATCGGGAAGATGCTCTGGAGAAGGAAATGGCAACCCACTCCAGTATCCTTTTCTGGGAAATCCCATGGACAGAGGAGCCTGGCGGGCTACAGTCGATGGGGTCACAAAAGAGTCGGACACGACTTGGTGACTAAACAACAGGCCTTTAAAGCACTAGTACAGATCTTAATGACTTGCATCCTTTTAGACCATGTTGCGTAGAGCATGAAGGAATGCCCAGGAGGTTGCTCTCAGCTCACTCAGGCAGGAATGTATTTGCTACAGCATTTGCTGTTTGTCCTCTTATGTCTAGTTGGTGGAGCCTCAGAGTATGTTCTGTCCTCTTATTGTCTCCCTGAAATCTTTCTTCAAGACTGAATGGGAGTAAACGACTCCTTCTTAGCCTCACTAAATCGCTGTTATCCCCTTCTCCTCATATTAAAGAGAAACAACTTTTTTCCCCGTAAGAAATACAGAAAATGTTTTTATAAATTGTGTGTCTCATGATCCTTGAAAAACTAAGATTGTTCCTTGAGGGCAAATCTAAACTAGGAAAAAAGTGGCAGTGTAAGAGAACATCAAAGGAGGAAGTTAACCTTTCCCATAACATGTTTAGTGGGCTTTCTCTACTGCACCCTGTACTTGACTAACCTACAGCAGAAGCAGACAGGGGTCTCTGCATGCACATATTTGTTTCATTTCTGCTCCTTGATTTGTCCTATAATGAGTTGCTGTCACTGGTTTCTGTGTGTGCCTGTGTTGCTTTCCTATAATGCCCTGCTGGTCCCCTTTCCCCACCATCACCACCATCCATTATCCAGTTGACTGATGGTCCCCTCGTTCATCAGCACTAGGTCCAAATGCTGCATTTCTCTGGGAAGCTTTTCTTGGTACTTCCCGCCCCACCCCCCCCACCCCCCCCACCTAGAACAAAAGACTCTGCTCTCACGTCCCCTGTGCTTTGCTTTGTCACAGCCCCTATTGCACAGTATTTAATGGATGGTTTCCAGGCCAGAGTGCCACTAACCTGTAAGCAACTAAAGGGTAAGAACTGTGCCTAATAATTTTTTAGACCCGCATCCAGTTCAGTGCCTGACACGCAAGGCATCTTCCCAATATTTAAAAATTATATGATGAAAATCACTATCCAGTAGTATGTTTTTAAAGTAGTACAGTCCCTGTCCGCTTCCCTCCTTCCCCTAGGAGAGCTTAAATTGGATTCCACTTTGCCTCTTGATACACTTCCTATTTATTCTTTAGTCCTGGGTGACCTTGAATAAATACCACATTGTTTAGCATATAAACATAAGAGAGATAACCCTCTTCCACCTAGGTCCTTTTCCTGCCCCACCAAAAAACCTAACCTCAGTGTCCCCAACTTGTAGCAATTGATGATGGGGGTTACCTGTTTTTAACTCCCCATGAGATCAATTTGCTCCTTTCTGTGTCTCCAGCGATAATAGGGTGACATCCTTCAGAGACCTCATTCATGACCAAGATGAGGACGAGGAGGAAGAGGAGGGTCAGAGGTGAGTCTTTGTTGGGGGCATAGTCCACAGGAAATTCTATGATAATTACCTGGAAGGGCCTAGAAGGATAAACATGCTCTGTTATCTTTAACCATTAGTACTGTGGCCTAGTCACACACATACTAGAAACAGTTTTCCACTCTGTGTAGCTTAGAATTGATCCCTGTCTTTTTACCATTGTTTTTTTCATTTGGGGTTTGTTTTTTTCATTGTTGTTTTTAATTTTTAAAATAATATGTGTTTATTGAAGAATATTAGGGGAAAGGAAATAAATTTATAAGGAAAAAAGCCATTCATAGTATCACAACCCAGAGGTAGCCAGGTCTTAATATTTTTGGTGTATTTCCTTCCAGTTTTTCCTTAATTGAAAAAGCAATATATTACATAATAAACAGGAAAATAGGCTTAGAAATGTATATTCCCCTTTTATACAGACACAGTACTGTTTTTTTGTTGGTTTGCTTTTAGCCTTTAGGAATATTATAATAAAACTGGTGTCCATTGTGGAAAATAAAGCATAATGAAAAAAATATAACACTCACCCACCCTTGGTAACTACAGTTAATATTTTGGCGTATTTCTACTAAGTCTTGGTTCTGTGTATAAAGGTAGCTTGTTGATACTGTATTTTATATGATGAAGATCAGATAAGTTTGTTTCTTGCTTTTGTAGAATTAATGCTACATCTTGAATATTTCTCCATGTCATTAAAATTCTTGACAGGTGTTTTCATTGACTATAATAATAATAATCCATCATATGAAATGTTTGATGTTTAGATCATTTCCAGTTTTTTACCAGTGTAGATATCAATGCTGTGAACATCTTTGTGTATTAATCTTTGAGTACATTTCAGATTATATTAAATACTTTCTAGAAATGAAAATACTGGGTCAAGGCCATGAATATTTTTAGGGCATTTTGATCATAGGTTCCTAGTTTATAAGCCAGAGCTTTGAGGTCCCATAATAAGGACCTTACAGAACTTTATCTACCTGGAATGAACAAGGATGGACTGGCTGCAGCCTCATTTTACAGGTTTTGGTTCTCCATGGAATCTGCCTGGGTCTGTCAAACATTCCTGAGGAACATTGTGTAATAACTATTATGGAAATGCAGTTAGCTCATTGTGGTCACTCTTTGGGAAGTGGGCTCAGAAATTGCATGTGTTCTGTTCTTTGTTTTCATCCATGTAGTGACTTTTGCCCTACCTCAGAACATTCTATTTAGATATACTCAAAAGTTCAGGAATAAATGTTAATTTCAGTGTTTTAATGCCCCTTGAAAGACAGTGTCATCAAGTAAGTGAATGCCCAACTCCTAAATAACCTCTTTCTAGTTCCCTTGTCTGGTCACATCCTCCAGGCAGTGACCTTTTACTTCACATCCAGAGTTACCCCTTTGGTCCCTCAGCATTTCAGACCTAATGACACTGGTCCTCTTGTTCATGCCAAGGCCTAGGGTTTTGCCTTCATTCCCTGGGTAATGTCAAGACATAGAAGGCTGAGGCTAATTTTTATAGGTTCTCAGTTCTCCCCACTGAGATGTGCTTTTGACTTAGCTGTGAATAGGAGTGACAAGGAAGCAGCCAGCCAAGGCTACAAGACTGCAGATTTTCAAACCCAGGTTAAAAAAATAAAGTGCCAACTTAATCTCAAGCTTTGCTTAGCCCATTACAAAGCAGATGTGGGTATCTTGGGGCTTATATTTGAGCTTCGCTGACCACCTCCAGTACCCATTCTCAACATCCTCCTGGTGTGTGTCACAACAATTGCAAGGCGAAGTGAGGCTTGGGTGAGCTCTTGGTGCAGTATCAAACCACCTTACATGTGTGCATTACTCTGTGCTTGTTCTTTTGCATACATCCGCTGATTTGAACCTCACGGTCCTGACTTAAGGAACAGGTAGGTAGGGCATGTGGTTCTTCCCTTCCATTTCAAAGAAGGAAAGTGAGGTATAGCTCAATGCACTGGCTTGCCCAGATCACTCAGTGACAGAGCCAACAGTGGAACCTTATTGCTTGTACTAACCATGCCACTGCCACCATTAATCCAGGGCTGCAAGTGGTAGCTGCTTCTCACTGTGAACATAGTGATCAACCTGGAAAAGTGTTGGTGTTTAATCCCAGAGCTAATGTGCTGTTGTGCATGCCTGGAATGCCCTTTTCTAGTTTCTTTACCTGATAAACTCATCATCCTCAAGGTTTAGCCCAGAAGACACTCTTCTGGGAACCCTTGACTGTCCTCCCTAATTCTGTATTCCCAGAGACCCCTTCCTTACCTTTTTTTGTGGCTCACACTGCAGTATGCCTGCCTGCCTCTTTACATGTGTCTCCCACTAGACAGTAAGTTCCATAAACATGAGCATTGGTACCCTTTGCCTCATTGTGCCCAGCTCCTTGCCCAAAGCCTGGCACATGCTCTGTGTATGTTTTCTAAGCGTATTTGGTGTTAGATGTGTATTTTCTGTGCAGGTTTTATGCTGGGGGCTCAGAGAGAAGTGGACAGCAGATCGTTGGCCCTCCCAGGAAGAAAAGTCCCAACGAGCTGGTGGACGATCTCTTTAAAGGTGCCAAGGAGCATGGAGCTGTAGCTGTGGAACGAGTGACCAAGAGCCCTGGAGAGACCAGTAAACCAAGAGTGAGCATAGGGGGTTGATGTCTGTGTCCATAGAACTGAGCATCCAGAGCAAGGGGAAGGAGGCCTTCATCACCCAATAGTGACTGAATTTGTTTTTGTTTTTCATTTGCTCACTTCCTCTTGTGCAGAAGAGCGGTGCAGTTTCTCTTACCTTTTAATACGAATCAAGATTTGGGGCAAAGTTTTCAAACCTGTGGTCTAAATCAGGTTCTGCCAGTTGTTTTGTTTAGCCTGATCAACTTGATTTAATGTCTCACTTTATTTTTTTTATTTTTATTAAATCAGTAGCCATCTGTTTTACATAAAATCTAAATTTCTGCTGTCTTTGTTAAAATCAGAAAAGTATCTGGTGTTATCCTGTGCTGAGATTCCAGCATAGTAGTGATTAACTAGATCTTAGTAGCAGCCATTCCCTTTAGCCAAGCAGCACTCTCTCCAGCCACAGCTTTCCAGTTTTTACCCCAATCTACCCCAATCCCGAACTCTGTAGCTCTGAGCTTGCTACTCAGAGAAGGCATACCTCGTAGTTAAATATCTTGGAATAACATTTTGTCTGAATAACCTGATCACTGTTGACCCACTCCTTAGGTGTTTGTGAACTTGTCTTTTATAGCCATTTGCAGGTGGTGGCTACCGCCTTGGAGCGGCACCGGAGGAAGAGTCTGCCTATGTGGCAGGAGAAAGGAGGCGGCATTCCGGCCAGGATGTGAGTGTGCATCCATCTTCTGTAGGGAAGCTCGTGGACTGTTTAATCACTTTGGGGGAGAAGTTAATCCCATGATTCAGCAGCCTCTGAAAGGGAAGAGGCAGCACATTTGCTGTGTCATCCATGAAGGAAAAGGCTTACCTGAGAATCACAGACAGCTCTCATCTGGCTGGATGGTGGCAGGGGGAGCTGGATAAGTTGGGCTGGGCAGAGTGGATGGACACACAAAGGAGTTTTCTGAGCATTCCATGAGTCTCAGGCAGAGGGATAGTGATTCCAGGGTTCTCTGGTGGTGTGGACAAGGCTAAGGAACTTGGTCTTTAGACCCCCTCAGGGAGGCTTGAAACATACTTTTTAAACTTTTTCCTTATTGTTGTTCAGTCCTTTTTTCCCTGTGCATAGGGGGTGCTCTCTCTACTAAGTATAATAATGCTATGAGACAATTTTGAAGTTTATGCCATAAACATTTTTTATTTCATTGATTTACAATGTTGTGTTAATTTCTTCTGAACAGCAAAGTGACTCAGCTGTATATATTCTTTGTCAGTGCCATAAATGTTTTCATATGACTTTGTGAACATTAGTCTCCATAATGTTTTTGTTTTTAATCATTTTGGGTTTTTTCCAAAACAAAGTCAAGCAAGAAGGAAATAAAAATTCTATCTACTTGAGGCAGCAGCTGCTAATATGTTGTTCTTTAGCCCTCTAGATGCTTTCCTGTGGATGTGTACAGGGAGTTAACAAATTTTGTAGATATCATTTTTAATGACTGCAAAATAGTTCGTGTAAAATTTGCCATGCTAATGTAGTTGAGCACGAACTCTGTGCCAAGCACGCTGGCAACGCTACAGATAAGGAAGCTACAGCTTCAATCAGTTGAGTCATGTGCTCAGTGCCACTTAGCTAGTGAGTGGCAAGATCAAGACGCAGATCCTGGTCTGCTTAAATCAAAGCCTATTCTCTTAATTTGTGCCATATCACCTTCTTATTTTAGGTTAATACTTACTTCATTGGTTGTTGGTTGCCTTCCTTGTGCATGAGTATATGTTTGTCTGTCTGTGTGTTTTAGTAATGACACAGTAAGATAGTAAAAAACTCGCTAATTTGCAGGTTCACACTGGTGTGCTTGCCAGGTTCCTGACAATGTATGGACTGCTTACCTCCTGTTGTCATAGGTTCATGTAGTGTTGAAGCTCTGGAAGACTGGATTCAGCCTGGACAACGGTGAACTCAGAAGCTACCAAGACCCATCCAACGCCCAGTTTCTGGAGTCTATTCGCAGAGGGTGAGCAGAAAAACCCTCCTTCAGGTTCCATCTCAGTGAGTGAGATGGCAGATGGGAAAGAAGAAATCAATTCAAATGTTTATTATTTAAGAAATTTAAAATTTTAAGCAGATTTAGCACAGTTGAGAAACAGATTCACAGATCTGCTTCCAAAACCCTGTGTATCTGCTTTTCCTCTTTGGGCCTAGGTCAGAGCCAAGTCACCAGGTGTGACTCTAGGCAGGTGTGAGAGAAGGAGGCAGGCAGGTAGCCACTAGAGCAGTCAGCTCCCCATGGAGGCCCATCAGTTGGAGATGAGAAGTTTCTCCTCCTCTTGTACCCGTCACTGTCATCCCCATCCTGTCCGTGTGGGCCCCAGCACTGCCTTTCTCCCACAGAGAGGTGCCAGCAGAGCTGCGGAGGTTAGCTCACGGCGGGCAGGTGAACTTGGACATGGAGGACCATCGGGATGAGGACTTCGTGAAGCCCAAGGGAGCCTTCAAAGCCTTCACTGGCGAGGGTCAGAAGCTGGGCAGGTAAGGAGCAGCATGGGGGGCGTGGAACTGTGTGGGTCCCTCCTTTGGGGCCCAGCAGACCCTGTGCACAGCTCACCTGATGCAGCTCTTTACTGTTCATTACACAGTACTTCAGATTTTATCTTTATGGGAGGAAAGGTATGAGAACATAGGCTTTGGCATTAACAAGCCTAAGTCTAAATCTGCTCTTTGCTTTCTAGCCATATAACCTTGGACTGTGCAGCCTCAGTTTTCTCAGCTTAAAGCGGGACTAGTAAGAGTCCTTATCTCCTTGACTACTGTTGGGAGGAGCATGTAGAGCACTGCCCCACAGTGAGCAGTGAAGGTAACACATCGCTGCTTTGACTTGGTCATCTAGGGTGCTCAGGGCAGAGATCACCTCCTCAGTGGCTCTAAGACTGAAGCAGACACAGGTATTCAGGTCAGTTGAGGTGGGGATTCAGAGAGGGTAAGGAATCCAGCCAGCCTGCAGCAGCACGTTCAGGATCCAGGGAAGCTCAAGGACATTGTTGCCCCGCGCAGGCTGCTGCTCCAGTGTTAGGGGGCTCTTATTTTTACTTCTCTGGTCCTGCCTGACGCTTACTTTGTCATCCCTGTGACTGTTTTGCCTTGTGTCCTCTGCCACCGTCTCTGTCTTGCATTCAAACCCCTCATATTAACAGGATCTGATTGGCTGATAGTTCCTGTTAACCTCTGATCAGCAGAGTTCTCACACCAGATCCTTGACAAACCCACAGACAGGCAGCCTTTTCTCAGGGACCCACTCAGCTTTGACTGTGCATGGGGTCACTTGGTCAGTATTCTGAGGGATCTGTGCACACAAGAGGCATTCGGCGTGTTGACACACAGTACAGTCCTTATTTTACAGAGGGAAAGCTGAGGCTCTTGGACTTCAAGGGTTACCCTTAGGTGCTCCCTGCGGTGCCACCAGGACTAGAACCTGGTCTTTTGATTAGCACTCCTTCCCACACTTCTGCACAGCATGACTCTATTTCTGACCTAGCTCTGGCAGCTTTGAGCTCGGTGCTGCCCTTGCTCACCTCACCAGATCTGTGTGGTCTGCCGACAGCTGTGCTCTTTGCAATTCTGACTGGCCCTCTCCTTGAATCCCCTACCTCCCTGCTGGCCATTCATGCCCCGTCAGGAGCAAGGGTCATAGCTCTATTAGAGATAATAGACTGCGATTTACCAGGACCAAAATACTGGTCACCCTCCTCTCATCGTTTCATCTCCCACATTGGGGTCTGTGGGTTAGTCTGGGACAGCTGTTCTCAGAATGATCCATCTGACTTCCCTGTCAGTTGTGGTAAGCTTTGTGGAGCACCACTTAAATTTTTTTCCCATATATTATTGAAAATAAAGTGTGTTTATCTTTTAAAATAGAAAATACAGATAAAGAGTAAAAGCTATTCTTAAATCTAACAACCAGATATATCCAGTTAGTATCTGAGGGTGTGTGTGTAAAAACAAATGTTCTATGCCCTACTGTTTTGCCTAGTCAGTGTAGTCTGGCTATCATTCCAGATCAGTAAATGCATTTCTGCAATATTGTTTTTAATGCTAACATAATTTTCTATCCTCCGTATGTGCCATAAGTTAACCAGTCCCTGCTATTAAGTATTTACATGATTATCAGTATTATGAACATTACAGTGGTTATCTAATTAAATCTTTATATACCCCTGTTGTTGTGCTGGAAGTAGTACAACAAGTAGCTCAAAAGATCCTCACATTGCCCTCCAAAACATGGTACCCTTCTTTCACCCACCAGTAGTTTTATGGAAGGGCTCAGAACACCTTGCAGTTTGGGTTTGTCTGGCTTCATGATAGTAACCAAAACTTTTGGAATGTCTTAACTCTTATTGTGTGTACAAGACAATATATTTCAAAAAATTAAGATATCTTAAGGAGACTTAGGATGAAGTGAAGTGTTAGTCACTCAGTCATGTCTGACTCTTTGTGACCCCATAGACTGTAGCTTGCTCAGCTCCTCTGTCCATAGGATTTCCCAGGCAAGAATACTGGAGTGGGTAGCCACCCCCTTCTCCAAAGGATCTTCCCGATCCAGGGGTGGAACCCATGTCTCCTGCGTTGCAGGTAGATTCTTTTCCATCTAAGTCACCAGGGAAACCCTCTGTTTTAGGATGGGGCTACTTTATTAGTGCAGATAATGAATCAACAGAGCTTGATAATCAGACATGATGCTTGTCAGCTAAATAAATGTTCATTGCCAGTTCCACTTTGATTTTCATTTCTAGCTTTTAATGAAAAATGAGGTTAAAAATAGTTTTATTACAGCTAAGGGTGATGGGACTTTAGCTTTTCAGTCTAAACCAGATGGATAGCTTTTTTAGTTTTTCCAATAAATTTTACTGTGCTTTCCATCATTGTCTTGTTAACTAAAATGATCAGGAAGCCAAATATTTTAGGAAATTTTTCTCAAGTTTCCCTCAACGATTGGTCAATCCTTGTTTTTTCTCCAATTACCTAGAAAAATAAAGTGAATGAATAGATTTTTCTCAGTTCGGAAATTTTAAAAAATTCTTTCAGTTGCATGAAACTTTTTGTTTTAGGTTTTGCATTTGTTTGGATGGGAACTAATCTGAAGATTTGAGATGCCTGCATTTGATTTCGAGTAGCAAACACCACGAGTGCACTTGGGATGGGGTGAGGGTGTCACTGCTGCTGGGATGAGCGCCGCTGGTCACCATGCTTGCTGCAGTGCTCATCTTTGTAAAGCCGGTGACAGGGCCTCAGGACTCAGCATTGTTGCAGCAGAGCACCTCAGTGCCCAATTTATTCCCACTACAAAGGAAATGAGCAGTCATGTGATTCAGCTTCTCTCTCGTTCTGGCAGGCAGCAGCTTCAGTGAGTACCTGTCATACTTGGAATTGTTATGAACAGTTGAGGGCCAGGCTACCTAGAATCTTAACTAAAGAGTTGACCTAATGCCTTTAAAACTAATGAACAGAACAGAGTAGATCTTAAGCATTTACAGGTGCAACATTTAACTTTCTGCTACCTCTCTTTGGGCCTGTGATGGTGTAATTTATCTATATGTCTCATCTTTTGAGTCCCACACGTTGTGAGGCCAATACATAGAAGCTTTCTCATAGCCAATAAGTGTGGCCAGCTTTCTCTTCTGATCTCCACTCTATAATACTCTAAGCCCATATTTTTGATGCTCACAGAAAGTAACTTCAGTTTTTAGTTCTTCCTTGCTGACTATGTGCTCTGGGGCAACATTTCGTGGACTGTTCCAGGAAATGATCTTCAGGAGGTTAACATGAAAAAAGAGCATGGTGGTCAAATAAGTTTGCCTTAACTTCACAGCTTCTCAAAGTGTTAGTCTTTCAGTCATGTTTGACTCTTTGTGACCCCATGAACTGTAGCCCACCAGGCTCCTCTGCCCATGGAATTCTCCAGGCAAGAATACTGGAGTGGGTTGCCATTCCCTTCTCCAGGAGATCTTCCTGAACCAGGGATCGAACCCAGGTCTCCTGCATTGCAAGTGGTTTCTTTATGACCTCTCAAGACCTTCTTTAATATGTTAGTGGCCTCTGACACTTGGTATAATGTTGGTGACATTTCCAGAACCTTCTTGTAGATAACGCAAGGGACTCAGGTCCCAGGGAACACACTTAGGAAAGTACTTTCGTTGGATTTGCTAAGAATACCCTTTTTAGGTAAAGATCAGAGGAAGAAGTGAGGTGGAAGAATTGATCTAATTAGAGGCTTTGGGAGAAGGCAAGGGGATTCTCTTCTAGTGGCCTCTATTCTCTGGAAAGGTATAGGCCAGGACGTCTGCTAAGAGACAAAAAGAGAGATAACGCCTCCACACAGTTGCGGAGAATTGGGAATTTGTGTGCATTTTTTGTTTGTCCGCCTCCCTGAGTGGAACACCTCTTTAATCCTCACAATAGTCCTTGTTAAAGAACCTTGTTACTACTGTTGAAACTCAAAGAGCTTAAATAACTAGCCCAACACCACCATAGCTAGTGGGTGAATTCAAACCCTGGTCCATCTCATTCCAAGATCTGAGCTGTCCACACTGCAGCAGGCACCATGTCCTGTTCATATTATATAATTAATCCCCGTGGTGCCAGGCACTTGGTTGGCTTTCCAGAAATCTGAACTGCCTCCTGATAGTTGACCAGTGAGTATGAGATACCCTCATGATTGAGGCTGCACTAGGGCAAGCAGGCCTGAAAATTCCATCAGAGGATAGGAGTCTGAACTTGTCCTTTACATCCTAATAGTCACCTGCCAGGCTGTGTCACACCCGCCTCAGTTGCAGACTTGGAGTATCCCCTCCCCATTCTGCCCTTAGCCTCTCACTGGGGCTAAAACTCATCCTGATCTGTTGGGTCCTCCAGCATCAGGTCCCAGTCTTCCAGCCCAGGCTGTCTTGCATACTGCTTACTTCCCTTCAAGCTCTTGTTCAGTTGTGGACACCAGGGAAGAAGGGGGTTGGTAATTTGCTCAACTCCAGGAGTGAGGGAGCTGGCAGTAACTTGGGGATTGAGGTGAATTCTGCTGGACCTCTAAGTTCCATCAGAGCAGGGATTCTGTCTTGTCACTCCTTATGTCAGTAGCAGCAAACAGCACCAGACATAGCAAATGCTCAGTAAAAATCCTTGACAGGATTCCACTCCTGCTGGGGCTTTGTTTCTGTTCATGTCCTGATGCATCCTCTCTCTTCAGCACTGCCCCCCAGGTATTGAATACCAGCTCTCCAGCACAGCAGGCAGAAAATGAAGCCAAAGCCAGCTCTTCCATCTCAATTGATGAGTCACAGCCTACCACAAACATCCAAATACGGCTTGCTGACGGTGGGAGGCTGGTGCAGAAGTTTAACCACAGCCACAGGTACCTTGCATTATGGGGCCTGGCTTATTCTAAGAGGGTCTCAGAAACTCCCACAAATAAGTGAGTAGAGGGAGCAGTTCTTTCCCTAAACACCAGCAGACTCTCCAGGCTCTCTCCAGAGGAGGCAGTGGAGTAGGAAGCTGTGCACGTCTGAAGCCTTTGGTTTAGTCCCCACTCTTCCATTAAGTGTAGCCAGTGACTGCCCCCTCTCTCTCGTGTGGGTCACAGATTCCTCAGATGGATTTGTTCCAAACTATTTGTTAATAGGAAGTTTCATGCTAAAGCCCAAGAGAACAGATAATCTGAACTGCTGTGGTTGTTGGAGTGGGGAGGGGACAAAATGCGGCATCCCACTCACTCATCCCACTCATCCCGCTCTTCCACCTCCCTACCCCCAGGGGGCCTCTGACAACCTCTAGGCTATGGAGAATTCTAGAATACCTGTTCTATCTCAGCTCATCTGGGCCAGATTGAAACAAACTGCCTCCCCAACTTAAAGATGGGGAAGCCAAGGCACAGAGTGATGAAGGGATTAGCAGGGGAGGACTGTTGCCAGTAGAGATATTTGGCAAAACAACTCTTTTTTTTTTTTTCTAGAATAGCAGTGTCTAAATTTCATCAGTTGTAGGCCATATAAATCAGAACCCACGTGGGGTCCAGGGAATGGCTTGCCAGTCCTTGAGTGTTGACAGGCTTCACATGAGGTTAGTGTGGAGCAAGTATGATAAGGATTATAGAAGAGGAATCAGGCAGAGAAGCCCCTGAGAAGAGGGACCAGATGTGGGCAGAGAGCACAGCGTGATGAAGAACTGAAGGGGGGAGGTAGGAGAACGGGGGAAGGAGGGTGGTGTGTGATTAGGCAGGACTTGGGACTACTGTCAGGAGGTTGGTGTTTATAACAAGGAAGAGGGGAGCAATTCTGAAAGATTTTGGAAGAGTGACGTGAGCTCATGTGTTTCCAAATGAGCATTTTGGCCATTTGGATGGGTGCAGAGAAAGGGACCTGGGGATATGAGGTGGCCTCCCTCTAGCCTGGGGGCGGGGGGGTGGGAGTGGGCAGCAGGCAGCAGAGAACACCGCTCACACCCACCTCCCCACTCCACCAGGATCAGCGACATCCGACTCTACATTGTAGACGCCCGGCCGGCCATGGCTGCCACCAGCTTTGTCCTCATGACTACCTTCCCAAACAAAGAGCTGGCTGATGAGAACCAGACCCTGAAGGAAGCCAACCTGCTCAATGCCGTCATCGTGCAGCGGTTAACATAACTGCCCGGCCCGGCCAGCAGCCTCATCTCCCTCCTGCGTCTCCCATGGCCAGCTGCCCTGTGGGGACCACCCTTCCACCCGCTCCTGCACACCCTGCATCCAGTGCCACGTCTCCTCCGTAGCTCTGGGTTCTTAGATCTCAGTTGGACATTTGTTTTCTCCTTAGTTGCATTTCCTGGGTTTTTGTGATGATCAGTGGACTTTAAAGAAAAAAATAAAAACAACCAAAAAAACCACAAAAATTGAAGGAATATCACCAGCATGTTGTACAGAACTTCTCCCACTGAGGCAGGCTTTGATTACCATAAAATCATATTTGTCTAGGGTGTGTGGAGGAGCCTTCCTTCCATCCTCTCTGTGTAAAAATTGCATGTGGCACACAACACCCACCCACTAAGTGTGACCCCCCGCCACCCCTATGTAGGGAAGGAAGCGGGGATACTTAAGAGAAAAAGGCTTTTGTAGCACTCACTCACATAAGAACACATTTCTTGCCTGGATAAAACTGGCAGCAACAAGAGGGCCCTGAAGCTTGAGATCAGATTTAGAGGCACACAGCCCCTCAGTTCCTTTCACTCAAACCCTGGGAGGTGTATACTCCCCAGGCCTTGGCCAGTTGAGATTCTGACTACAACTCCTGCTTTGGCCCTTTCCTCCCTCATCATCCGGGCTGCTGTGTCATTGCTTTATTTCATGGAGAGATGTGTCCCTCAGAGGTAGGGGAATCTTTTTACTGGGAAACAGCTTTTGCCAACTCAGATGAGTTCAAAGTCAGGGTGTCTTGCCCTGAAAGAGAAACAAACAGCGTATCACCGAGCTCCTGTTAATGTGTGGCAAACCAACTGTTGAAGAAGAGGTGGGTTCCCTGTGCTTCAAGCTCCTTGTACTACATTTGTAGGAGGCTTTTGCTGACTAAAGTTAGAGTGTAACAAAGATGGCTTTGGTGTGCAGGCCCGAGTTCTGACTTGCACCAACGTAGGCAGTAGTCCCAGCCAGGCCAAGACCCTCCCCACATGAAGTGTGAGTCTGGGAGAGGAGAGCCACTGTGGTCTTGGATGGAAGCCTTTCCACCCCCTGTTAAGTAAACCCCAGAATCAGCACTGACTCAAAATCTCCTGGTTTCAAATTATAATATGGCTCAGTCTGTTTCAAAGCAGTCATCAGCAGTCACTTTCTCTTTTCTGTTTCACCCCCTGCAGTGAGCCAAGAGCTAACAGTGCTGGTCTTCAGAGTTGGGGGAGGCCCTCGGTTCCCAATCCAGACCTATCCTGAGAAAGGGAGTTGGTACTTCTGATCCCAGAGAGGCAGTTGGGGCAGGGCTGCAGGCGGAGAGAAAAGAAACCAAATGCTGGTCTAGAGAAACTGGAAATTATTGTCAGCTTGACCATTAAAAACCAAAATGAGGACAGTGGAGTTTGTACTTTCTAATGGATTGCTCTGAAGAAGTATAATGAAGCAACCATAGGAAGTACTTCAGTGCCGCACAAGAATCCCATTGTACAGTGCCAAAACCTAAAGTCCAGGCCACACGGCTGGTAAGTGTTAAGGCCTGTCTGTCCCTAAGGCCTCTGCTCAAACACCATGCCCCATACACATACACTCCAGCCATGTGTACATACACTCAACCCTCCCCTCTTCAGGGTTTCAGCTTACGTTAATTAGCACACGCCAGAACAGAGCATGAAAACATAACCTGCATCCTCTAAAAGAGTCTACAAAGGCCCTGGGTTCCCACCCAGTTCTGGAATTGAGTGAGGCAGCTGACTTAACTGTTCACAGCCACCACAGTGCAGGCCAGCCAGGTACCTGGCCCTAGGTCAAAGGGACTGCCAACCACACTGCCAGGGATCACACTAGTCCAGTTCAAGGCCACGAAAGGATATTTTCAGTCCTAATTTTTCTTCTGATGGCACAGATGAAAAGGTTCATCCACTTGATAGACGTTTCATAGGGAGATACTCAACAGCCATTGGTTCTGGGGTTTCTGAAGTCGGCAGTTGTTCTCAATTGAGGCATTTTGGATCATCCCCAAAATTGGCTGTTGAGTGGGCGTTAAACAGGTCTGTGTGCATGCTAAGTCACTTCAGTTGTGTCCGACTCTTTGCAACCCTATGGACCATAGTCCAGGTTCTGGGATTCCCCAGACAAGAACAGTGGAGTGATTACCATGCCCTCCTCCAGGGGATCTTCCCGACCCAGGGATTGAACCTGCATCTCTTACATCTGCATTGGCAGGTGAGTTCTTTACCACTAGCACCGCCTGCAAAGCCCTAAGTAGGTCTGACCAAGGACATAATGCAACATATAGGATATATCCTAATTGAAGGATATCCCAAGTTCATCACTGAGTGAAAAAGGCAAGTTACGATGATGCCCTAATAAGTGCATATTAAATTCACTTCTACTGTGGGACATGTGTGTTGTTCTTGTTTGATTTTGTGAACCACACTGCTAAACAACCCTGTAAGTACAGTGTGGGACACATCTGGTTGCTTCCTCAGGAGATGGCTTTGGGTGGCATTGAGAAAGTGCCCTTCTGAGCTGCAGGGCCCCTTCCCATGCCTGCCCACTGTATAAAATGTGCCCATCATTGGAAGGACTGGGGCTGAAGCTGAAGCTCCAATACTTGGGCCATCTGATGTGATGCAAAGAGCCGACTCGTTGGAAAAGACCCTGATGCTGGAAAAGATTGAGGGCAAGAGGAGAAGGGGATGACAGGATGAGATGTTTGGATGGCATCACTGATTCAATGGATATGAATCTGAGCAAACTCTGGGAGATTGTGAAGGACAGGGAAGTCCGGTGTGCTGGAGTTCACGGGGTCGCAGAGTCAGACATGACTTACTGAACAACAACAAATCCCAGCCAGGAACCCTTTAAAGTTGACTTTGAGTTCATTGGGGGTAGAAGTTGGTGCAGAAATGTGAGTTCCCTGTTGCTCCCTCTATCCTAACTACATTTTACGGGGGAACTGCTGCCAGAACTTCTCCCAGGGTCAAGTAAAAGGTTATCTTCTTTCTTTAAAATGGACTTTGCTCCCTTGTCGAGGGCTGTGACCATGTTCTCCCACCACCCCCTTCTATATCCACTCTCGTCTCAGGCCAGGCCAAGGAAGCAGAGCAGCAAACATTGTAGGCTTCTAGTGTCCAGCCTGGGTCCCAGTCTGAGTAAACTCCTCTGTCATGTGCCTGCATCTGTCTCTTTCAGTGGCCTCATGCCTCACCCCATGTAAGTCCTCAGTAAGTCCTCCAGGTTCTACTGCAAATGCATCCCAAATCCAGCCACTTGTCATCCCTCCCCGGCAATCTCCGGGGCCCATCGTCCACCTCTCACGTCAACAACTGCAGTGACTTCCTTTTGGTCACCCTGTTCTTCTTGCCCCTGACGATCTGTTCATACAGGGTCACTACATCCATTAAAGCCCACCACATCTTTAAAGCCCTCAGGAGCTCCCCATTAGCCCTAGAAACTCATTACTAAAAGCCCGAAGAGCCCTATAGGACCTGGCCCCTACCTATCACTGTATCCTTCTGTCCTGCTTTATTCTCTGACTTCTTCTGATGTATCATAAATTCTATTTCCCTTGTCCCTCCACTAGATTATAAGCTCCCTGAAGCAGGGGGATTGTTTCTTCACTCATGTACCCTGACAACCTGGTGGCACAGTGCCTGACACAGTAGGTTCTCAACAAATAACTGGTTGGATGAACATGTGAAATGGAAATACGACCTCCCCATCAACTGCCTCCGAAAGCAGGTTCCTATTCAGCCACAGGGGGGCATCATTCTAAAGGGCAATCATAGCTTCAACTGCCAAGAAGGCAGAACAGAAAGCACAGAGGGGTGGGGGGAGCATGGTGTAAGGGAATGCCCCCAGCATTTCCCTGCCACCTGGGTTGGATTAGGAAGGTTATTAAGGGCCAGTTACCTTCACAGTGAGCACCTGAGATCCTCAATGCCCATCTTAGTTCTTTAGCTTCTACTGATGATAATAGCAGCCGCCATAATTTAAACACTAACTTTGTGCCAGGTCTTATATGTACCTTACTTCATGTAGTTTGGTAACAACCTGAAGGTACCATAGTTACCCATTTTGTGGAGGAAGGTTCTGAGGCCTACCTAGCTCAGTGAAGGAATTTGGCTGAAGTCATATTCCAGGTGGAAGAACCAAGATTTGAATTCCCAGCCACCTGACTCCAAAACTACGGCTCTGGACCATTAGGATCTACTGCTGCGAGAAATGCAGGCCCAGGGACAGCAGTGGAAGGAACAGGTCCCCAGTCGGGACAGGTCGGGAGAGGGGCCGGGGAAATCAAGGAGGGCTTCTCAGGGGAGGGCACCCTTGAGCTGGGCTGTGAAGGATGACCAGGGGTTGGTTCACTGACAAGGAGGCAAAGAGTTTTCCTTCCTCTAGAGACAAACCCAAAGGATGTGTGAAGGTATGGGGCAGGTAGATCTGGAATGACATTAGCCCAACTAACCCCTGGGCTCTGGGAAGGAGCCAGTGCCAGAGACTGTAGCTTGTCCCTACTGAGGGGCAACACTAAGTTCCCCTTCAGACCCGTGGGACGAGAGAAGGCTGAGGAGACCAAGAATGGACTCCAGAGCCCTGGGGCTAACCCCTTCCTGATTCAACTCCCTCTGCTCTGCAGTTTTCCCATCTATAAAATTGGCTCTCAGCAGAATTTCTGTATTGTAGCAATTACTGTATTGCTAGGAACACTGTTTCCCAAACCTGTGAACTCATGGGCCCCCAGATTAGCCAGTACTGTTGGTATTGACAACTCTGCCTCCAGGGCAGGTTTGGGACACCTCAACTCCCTGAAGATGATGGAGTTTATCCAAAGATTTCAGACTGATGAGATGGCAAGTCGCTTGCAACCTCCCTCCCCAGGCCAGGGATTTGTGCGTTTTTGGAAGATTTTCAACCAGGAACTTGGAGGGCAAGGCCCCAGTCAGCAGAGACACCAAAGGCTCTTAGCAGGTGGGATCACTTGACCC